TTAATTTAAAATTTTGATTTAAATTTAATATATATTTAATATCTGAATTTAATCAAATTAAATTTAAAAATAAATCCAAAAAAATGTATATTACGATTTCGAATAATTTTTTATTTTTTTTATTATTTTCATCCCTAGCAATCGAGGATCATATTATCTTATAAATCAAAATTTAAGATAAAGTTGAAGATTCAATTTTGGATTTTTAATTTTTTTTTACTATTGCAATTGAACAAAATAAAAAGAGGATGGAAAATTCAAGCTTTAAACTTTAATTTTCTATTGAAAAGGAAAAATATATGCTTTACTGTTGTATAAATTTTTTTCTTATAAAGTTAAAGAAGCAATAATAATGGTTTTTTATTACATGGGGAAAGGAATTTTTATCTGATCATAATTATATTTTATGATTAAATATTTAAAAATTTTAATAAATAAAATAACATGCATGACTCTTGCTTAATAAATAAAATAATATGAGCAAAATAAAACTTTTCACACCATACATTCAAATAAATTCTAAAATTATTAAAGTCAAACTTTAATCCAATAACCACCATTTAATAATTTTTTTTATTATTTGTAAATTAAAAAAAAAAAAAGAAGAAAATTTATTTAAAAAAAAAATTCAACATGTAGGCAAATGGGATTCAGGTGTTTATGCCTTTTGGGCCCTTTTTTGGGCCTTTTGGCTTAATTTTGGAAGATTCTACCATTTTTCAACACTGACCATAATTGGTATGTTGTGATAAATAAATGCCCTTTTGCTGTCACTTCTTGTTCTGAATTCTATCCATAAACAAATCAAACAATTAAACTTATCTTAATATTACAACTTTAATCTAATTAGAACATCAATATTTCATAAATTTTTCCAAAAGCAAACCCAAAATTTTGAAAAATCATATATAAATATTAGATTTAATGATCGGTCCATGATTATTTATTCTAAAAATAAAATTTGAATCTCTTTTTTTCTTAAATAAAAAATTAAAAAATTATATAAAATACAAAAAATATCATTTTTAGGTTAATTGTCCGCTTTACATTTTTTTATCCTAAAAAGGTTGAAAAAATTTTTATCATATTTTTAAAATCAAAATAAATCGTCAACCCAATTGAGATTTATGAATTTATTAAAATTTTATTTGTGAATTTTTTGGATTTTTCTTGTCTAACTCAATTGAGATTTACAGATTTATTAGACTTTTATTTACAAATATTTTAGATTTACAAATTGTTTATCAACGAAAAACCATGAGAGATTCAAACTTTAATACTTTAACAATCGTCCCTTATCATTTCCACCAACTCTCCTTGGCCGTACGCTTCACATGATTCTCATTGAACTTTCCTGATTATTTACAGTGTTTATTGCTTTGCTTGTTGTCACATTATATTGTAACTAAATAATGCTTTTCAAAGTAGTTGATTTTGAAAAAGAAGAAAATACAAGGCAAGTTTTATTGGAATTGAGTCAATTGATGAGATGAGTGGGAAGATAACTTCTCAGGAACATGGGTATGCTTGACTTTGAATGTTCATAATGAAACTTTTTCATGATTGCTTTCCAGACCATATTTTGACATATAGTATGCAATGAGATCATGATTTTATCATGCTCCCAATATTTCCAATGGAGGTTAATTTAGACTTATCGAATTTGTGTAGTATAAAATAAGAAAATTTATATATTTATATTATGTTTTATGTCTGATCCTAAATTTGGAGATTTAAAATGTAACAATAAAATATACTCACGAGATAAATCTTATAAGCATACAAGATAACAGATATCGAACTAAATCAAAATCTCCAATAATCTTCAAAATAATATTTTACAAAACTCAAGTTTACAAAATTATACACTTTACAAATTAGTTGAATATATTAAAATTCTTACTAACAAATCTTGTAAAAATAATAATAAAATATTTACTCAAAAGCTATACGAAATTAAAAACAGATACTAATCTTACTAATTCAAATAGTTGTCAAGGTTAAACCTTCCAAGATACCAACATCTAAATATGAAAAAATAAAGAAAATTAAAAGAATGAGTATGACAACTCAGCAAGTAATCAATATTTTCTAAGTTAAATTAAGCATGCTACAAAATATTTAGGTCAAAACATTGACTAAAAGATTCAAAAATATTTTGGATAATTTTATATTCACAAACATATTCTTAAAATCAGATTCTCAAATCACAAAATGAAATCAAATGTTACAAAATTATAAATTTTATCAGTCTTTCGTAATAAACTACGATCACACTTAACCCTTGTAGCATAGGTTATAATCAAAATTTTTCTTATAATGCAATGGGACAGAAGCTATCAAAAGCATTTAGATTATTGCACTAACAATTATAATTAGCCCATTGATATAATGAGATAGAACAAAAATCACAATAATATCTTTTAGTATAACGGGACAGAAATATATTATCGATGGCACAATAAACAAAAACCACTATTATCAACTGATAGCACGATTTGAAACCATTATCAATATAAAAAAATACATATCGACATAACTAACAAGTAACTCCCATTGACGGGGTCAAAACATAATCATATCAGAAGACAAAAACCAAAATATATTTTCAAATTATCCAATATATATTAATTCAATATTTATAAATTTTCTCAAAACATAATCGATTCAAAGTAAAATTTCATATTCTGACAAACAATGAATATATAAATATATTATTATGTAATTATATTAAAAAATCAAAATCATATCAAATCATATTCTAAACTCATAGCAAAGAAATCATATATACATTTTTTTTCATACTCAACCTGATTTATAAAACAAATGGACAAAACAATATATATTATATATTACAACTCTAAATATATTGAGTTGATTTATAGGGATGTAAAAATCAAAGGGATATTAAATCACTTACCTGATACATTAAACTGAAACATAAGTAGTGAATCATTCAATTCTCTTAATATTCTAATAATTTAAAAAATATTCAAAATTTAAAATTTAACCCAAAAACATAACTTTAACAAGGCAAACCTTCTGCGGATCATCCTAAGTAAATTGGATTGTGTGGCAACCTTTTTGATAATTCAAAATTATTTGAAAGTCTTTTCTTTTAGCATATAAAACAAATTTTCTTTTAATTTAGCAAAATACTTAAAATTAAGTATAAATATAAAATTAAGAATTAAAACATAAAAATCAGTAACAATATAAATTTTTACAAATATTTAATTTTTAATATTTAATAGTAATCATTTTTTGTAAATCTGAATATAATTTAATAGACATTAACAATACTAATTGTATGGAATTAGCATAATAAAAATATTATTAAAATAAGTAAAAATTCATTAAAAATAATATAACTAAAATTCAAGTAATTTATAACTAAATACATTAAATATTGACTGAAAATAATTTTTTAAAATAATTAAAAACAAAATTTTCTAAATCTTGAAATTTTTGCATTTTGTAATCATTTAGCTTATTTTTAGCCATAAAATCTCTAATATCCCATAGTTCATGGTGACAAAGGAAAGCAGTAAGTTAAAGTAGAAATGTAATATTACAACATAGGATTTCATTTTGACAAAAATGATTTTGAAAAGCTTAAGTTTCGAAGGTCAAAACTTTACAAATTATCATAACAGTCCAGATTTTTTAGATTTCAGATTTGTAAAATCTATTTTAGAGTTTTGATTCTCTTAGCTTATAAATCATTTGAACAAACCAATTATATCATTAAAAAGTTCACATTTTGTACTATCTAAAGTACCTAAAGTTTGGCCAAATTGACTACCAGAATAAGAAGTTCTGACGATTCAAAATCAGGCGCATGTAATTTATTAAAAATCTCAAATCAAAATTTTGAAACACTAAATTCTTTTAAAATATTCAACTAAATAAAGTGACACACATATCATTTCAAGACCTTTCCATTAGTACTCACAATTTCACTGAATTGTCATCGAAAAGTTACCAAAATATTTTTTTTTTAAGTTGAAAAGATATAAAAATATAAGTTGAGGTTTGTATAAAATTATATAAAACATAAAAAATTTCAAGAGTTTTAAGCAAAATCTTACTCTAATCAATGATTTTTAGGATTGATTAGCCTTTCCTCTTCCTCTCTTGTTCTCTTTTAAGGTTTTCTCCTTTTTCTATTTATTTTTTTACCAATGGTACTTATGTGCTGGATCATTAATCAGGCTATAGTCATTTAGACTTGAATATTATATTTTATAAAAAAATTATTTATCATAATTTATATCAACATAAAAATACAAAATATATATTTTTAATTTTGTTAAATTCATGTATAATTATTTTAAAATTTTAAGTCTTGTCATATTTGTATTTTATTTTTATATTGTATTCGTATTATATTATTATATTATATTTTAAATTATTAAATCTGAGTTAATTTACTTGGATTCCTCTGATTTTCTTCATCTTTTGGGCCAATTAATTGATATTGGTTTTTCAATGGTCCCAAACTCTGCCGCTATTTTTTTTCCTTAAAACTGTGCAAAATCATCTGTAATACTTATATATATATATATACACACATAAGATTCACTTTCTATTGCCACTTTCCTAACTAGTCCTTGAGAAATGAGAAATAAGTTACTGAAAATGGGCGGCTTGAGAAATTAAGATTGTAAAAGTCGATGATTATTTTCGTGTTTTTACACGACGTCGTAATAAAATAAAAAAAATGAATTATAATTGTTAAGATTTATACTCTAAATATGATGAAAGTATTGAATGAAGTTTACATCATCTGAGTTAAATTTTGAGTTTATTATATTTGTTTTTATGGTAAAAGAAAAAAAAAAAAAGCTACAAAACTTTATTAAACAAAATCTAGACCAAAGTCAATGGGGGCGGTGGTTTCATGTAATAAAGAAAAAGTAGTAATTTCCATGCAAAAATAGTGAAATGGACTTAAAGATTAAAGAATCCACCCCCTACGCAACGGCCAACAGAAACCTTCAAAAATCAGCAACGGCAGTTGGTTGGAAACTTCCTTGCTTTAACACATCTTCTTGGTGATCATGGCAAAGTGATGGTGATGGATCCTTTCCCATTTTGCTGCAAATTGGAAACCATCAAAAAATAAATAAAGTAAGCATTTAAGATTGTCTTGGAATTTTTAGGCTTAAAGTTCGTGGCTTCTAGCAGGTTTCCCCCCTTTATGTACAAAAGAAAAGCATGTAAAGACATGTTTAGGGCTATAAACGAATTGAGCTGAGCCGAGTTTGGACTCCGATAATTTATTTTTAGGATTGTTCAAGATTAACTCAAACTCGATAAGATTTGTTTTTTACGTTATGTTCAAACTCAATTTATTTAAATAATTTAGTTATATTCGAGCTTGATTCATGAATATATAATCAAACGTATTTATTAACAGCTAACCTTTTATCCACAATGACAACAGAGCGAAGCTCACCATGGTCAAAGCTGAAATTGAAACAACATATTATTTATGAGCTTTTGAAAATGTAGTTAATAAAGAAAGAGACAGAGAGAAGAAAATTTAGCCAAACCAAGGCTCACCGTTTGCATAATGAAGCTCCTAATGGTGAATTGCAGTCATTCCCAAGTACATTTATCAGTATATTCTGAAGAACCAGGCCATGGCTTATAACTACAATCTCCTTCTCTGGCCTTGTCCATAGCCTGGAAAAGGGCAGGGAACAGTTTTCAAAAAGATAAAATCAGTGATGCAATATCTTAAATCATTCCTTTGTCATGGACTAGAATGAAGAAAATTGCAGTTACCATTGCAAAAACTTGGCTGCTCTTTTGGCAAGTTCTTCCTCAGGCTCCCGAATGTCCGGATTCCACAAGTTGTCATCTTCACCATCCATCTGAACAAAGATTAAAGAATGAATTAAAGGTCTGATTCTGAATTAGCCATAGCCAAATTAAAAGTAGAGTTGCAAAAGTATATATACTTGCCATTGAAAAATCGATTGAAGGGAAAAGAGACTGACAATCGCTGACCTTTCTCCTCATATCACATGGACGAACCCCCTGCAGTGAAGAAAATGCATATTTTCTACAATGCTAAACATGGATATATGCACAATAGATACTCAGATAGGCTAAAGTTGTCGAAAATTTCAGCCTACCAGACGGTCTCGACAAAGCTCAACTGCCATAATTTGGGGACTATTTGCACAGGCAACATTACCTGTGTCATCTTCACTGCCAAAAACTGCAACAGCCGTTTGCATGGCTCTGCATTGGTTACATTACCTCATTAAGTACTTAACTTCGAAAGGCTTAAACATTTCGGAATTGATATACCTTGACAAAGGGGAAGTGGTGATCAATTCAATCCTGTTAAGTAGCTTGCTAGCATGAACATCCTTTCGCAGTTTAGCAACCTGTTAAAAAACCGAAAAATGATGAATCATGACTAATACTTGTTGCTGAATGTTGAGCTCATTCAATCCTGGATTGAGCACTGACATAGATGATGAAACTCTAAGAATTGATTAAAAACCTGTTGCAAGCCTAATGGGGAGAGTTGTGCATCAAATAGATTAAGAGACAACAGTGCCTCAGGATTCTTATCTCCTTCCATATTGTGCATAGCTTGTCCATGCCTCACCTACGAATCCAAAAACAAAACCACTTCACTGAGCAAATTTCAATGTGCAAGGCTTCAATTCAACAATGCAACATGCTTACCAAAAAAAAAAAAGAAATTATTATAACTAACCAAGTGAAGAACTTTGCAATTGTGCCATGGATATGGAAGTTGAGCTTCTCTGGCATTCATTTTGATTACAAAAACAAGGGACATGAAGCACAAAAGTGACTGGTAAAGGACACTAATATAGAAATGAGAAATTGTTATAGAAACTGAATAAAGCACGGCATATAATACGTCAACAAGTTGTCAGTATTTTTCTTCACTGATTAATATCGCACCTAACTCCGAGTTAAATTATTGCAGGGATAAAATATTGGTGGCTAGGAGTATTTTAGTGGTCTAAAAGGCAAAATGTATCTTTCCACAAAGTTTTAAGTTAATTGTCAAGCGGGTAAGTTAAATAATTATGGCCGGATGTATCAGGCTAATCTGAATTTTCATACTCTGCTTTAATTTGGTTATCTCAGCTTACCATCAACTAGCACATGAAGACGTTGACTTGTCACCCCTAATTAGATTGTTAATTGCTATATGAGCTTACCTCGTCAAACCCAATCCCTCTATAACTAGCTCGAGTCACTTGGACCTAAGGCTCCCATCGCATAAGTATAAGTATCTCCTTTCAGATACTTTTAAACTATTTGGAATTTTAATTTCCATACTTTTTTATTTGTCTTTTTCTCTTTTTCATTCTTTAACCAAACATTGATTTAAGTATTAGAGTACAAATATTAAAAAAACTCTCAATTTTTGTCATGGACGGATCTCCTTTTCTTATGCTTTTAAATTTTTACCTTACGCAAACAGCTCTTACTAAATTAATATTAAAACATAAAAAAAATAAAAAATTGGATCTTCAGCTTCAATACTTATCCGGACACATACACATTCGATCAATTAATGATACTAAAATCATCATGACGATTTTTCTAACATATAATACTTTTCTTTGCTTTCACATTATCCTATAGTAACATTCTAGTTTTAAGAGTTGGTGAAAATCTACTGTAATTAACTAAGACTATTCTAGTCTTTCATGAGGTTAGTGGGAAAATAACTTCTCAAAACAATATTGTATATTCTTGACTTTGAATCACTATTGCTTTGTTGACTGTAGTTTTGCTTAGAGCGAGGGGGCAACGAGCTCATGATTTTGTGCTTCCAAGTGAGCAACAAATGGAAGTCAACTCAATTAAACTAGACTATTAGCAGCCATGACCCATGATTCAATTTTATAAACTCATAGCTACTAAAGAATAATTTTTTTATAAAAGGATAGAAGAAGAAATTGTAAATATTAAAATTTAAATTCTCTTTTATAAAAGGGACATGAATTAATAAGAATTAAATTATATTTTTAATAGTTTAAGTTATATCTTCTATAAGATTTTACTTATATTAATATTATCGATGATTCTTTTATTAATTTTAATTTTAAAAATATAATTTTTGTTGAAATACAAAATAAAATATTAAGCAGTCTATTCATCCAAAACTTTTTTATTTTAAAAACATATAACGAAAATATGTTGTCAATACAAATGGGTTAAAGCTAATGAAATTGAAATTGCACCTTTCTTTTTCTCTTAGGAAAAATCTAGTGGTAGAGTCCTATATATGGTTGAACACCAATACATATTAAAAGCAAACAAATGAATTTTGTTGACTCGTTACTTAAGAAGCAAGTCATATGAAAATCATTTCTATGGTTTTGCCAATACATTTACTTTGGTCAAATCGTTTTCAAAGTCGTACATAATGATTTTGAATCTTGTACCATTATAAGCCAATAATGATTCAAACTTGTAAATAATCTTGGAAAAGTCATCATTAGTAAAATCATGATATCAAATCTTAATATATAGAGTTTGATAAATTCTTACTTAAAATTTGAATGATTCTATGATTGAAGCTTATTTGAATTTGGTCTTTTGGTGTTAGTAATTTATTCACATAGTTATTTTAATAGTAGATTTAATAATTTTAAACATGATATAATGATATTATATAAAAATAATACGAATAAAAGATATAAAGATGACACTTTAAAATTTTAATAAAAATTATAAATAAATTTAATAAAATAAAATATATATTTAATATTTTCATATTAATACGAATTGTGACATATAATTTTTGTATAAAATATTATATTAATACACAAATTATTAAATTTTATACGACATAAATATAAAAATTTTCAAATTTATTTAATAGTTAGAAAATATAAGCATGATTTTTCGTTCTTTTATTACATTTAGTGTATAGAAAAGATGTCTTTTTGTGTGAAGTTAACGTCCAATTTTATCATTGTATTTTAATAATTTATTGAATTTTATTATCGAATTTTTTAGTTTTTGAACAAAAAATGACCAAATTGACAAAAAATTGTCACTTGTAGTAATGAAATCCATACAATATTTCAATAAAATTAAAAATGTAATGAAAAAATTCAATAAAATTAAATTATAATAACAAAAATTTAATATTAAACATTAAATCATGATATAATGATTGATGACCTAAATCCTAAAAAAGTTTCACTGTAAATTGCCACGAACACGAAAGGGAGGTTTCTTGAAAAATATACTCCTTTCATTTCAAATTGAATTGGTTTTATAAACAAATCCCCAATATGTGATTAGGAAAAATACTTTTTTTCTCATCCCGAATTATTTGAATGTTACTAATTTTCACGATTTTTAATGTTAAAAATTAAAAAGAAAATTTATAAAAAATAATTTTAAAATATAAAAAGTAAAAATTTTAAATGTTAAAAAAAAAAAAAGATATCATTTTGATACATTCCAAAAAAAATGGATAAAAAATAGAACGGAAGAAATAATATAAATTCATATATTATGAGATTTTAGTTTAAAATTTAATAATTTAAAAAAAAATTTTAATCTACCCTTAAACCTTTTATTTTATTATTTATCTTATTTAAAAAAATATTACACGCATAAATTTTATTGAATCTGTAATTTTTAAGTATCAATTTTAATAACATATTAATTGATCAAAAGAATAATCAGCAAAATTTAATAATTTAAAGATGTTTATATAGTAATGTAGTCTATTTCTCAGCAACTAACTTGATGGCAGCATCTATAGTTTCAAATAAATATAATCAAAATTAAAAAAGAACGATGATGCTAATAGTTATAAAAAAAAAAACAAAAGAAAAAGGTGATTGAATTGAATAAATTGAAAAGTTGGTGAATGAAACTATGACTGGTTTCAAACATTCTTTCTTAAGCCTTGTTAAAAAAGTTAAAAGTCTCCTCTAACCATACTTAAATCAAATAACTGTCATAATCAAAATCTTCCCGGTTGACACTTTAATGCGAAATATATATATGTTCAAGTTTAAGTACAAATATGCCCCTAAAACACTCTATTATATGCAATAATTTAAGCAAAGGTGTTCATGGGTTAATATTTAATATTAATAATTTATATATTTTATTTAAATTCAGTTCAAGTTTCAATTTTGAGTCGTAAAATTTTTTTAAATCTGATACAAATTAAAAAATAAATTTTAAATTTATTCATTAAATTTAATTTATATAATAAAATATTAAAAAATGATTGAATTAAATTTAATAAAATTATATTTACTTTACATATATATAAATTAAAATTAAAAATTAAAAATAAAAATAAAAATTAATAAATGTATATAATTATTATTTTATTTTTATACATATAAATTAATTTATATATAATTTACATATATATATAAATAAATAATTTATATAAATATAAATTTGGATCAGATTAAATCATATTTAAACTTTAAATATTTTATTTAAAATTTAATCTAAAATTTAAGTGAATCTAAAATAAAATTAAAATTCGTTTAATAAATTTTAATTTTTTATCTAAAATTTTTTTTAAAATTTTGAAATTTAATCTGACTCTAGAACAATCGTATTTTCAGGGGTTGTCCGTAACTTAACTATATTTTCAAAATAAGTGGCTAATAATCCTCCAGCATTTCATTGCTCTCGCCGGTCTCTCTCTGTACATCTGCCACGTAAGCAAAAGCCAATGAAGGCGGCTGAAGGACGGGGCCCACATTACGTTGAGACAGGATTTTATTGGCCCAAAAAACGAATGGATGTACGTCAGCACCCACTTGATCGCACCATAGTTTTCCCCGCATAAATGAACAAAATGCAAAGCCCAACTATAAATAGCAACGCGCTAAAGCGGTGACAACCAGTACGCCTTTTTTCAAACGTCTCGAATTATTGTTCCATTTATTTTTCCTTCGTTTTCCATTTCTAAGAAAGATTCAAAATCCGAATCTCAATATCTTTTTCAATTATTATTATTATTTATTTACTTATTGATTAACACTGTGATTGTCCTTTGGCTTCAAAACGCTGCGATTCTTGGCTCGCGCTGTTCATTGATCAGCAGGTGATAAAGCTGACATTGATTTTGTATTTTGATGATGAATTTTTTTGTGTTCGGTTGTGCTAAATTGTTAATGACTGTCAGTCAATAGCAGATTTTTAGTAATAATTTTTAATTATTTTTTGAATTTGAAGATTACCTTTATTAGCTCTTATTTGAGAAATTTGAGTGTAACGTGCTTAACTCGTTCGGAGATAAAAATTTTCCTTCATTTTCTGGTTTGTCAAACAGAGTGTTTTTCATTTTCTCTACTTCAAATTTGGAGCCAAACGGAGTTTTCACGTTATCTTCATCCTTTATTTTATTTTTCTTCTTTTTTTTTTGTTATTGAATTGATTTAAATTGATGGTGAAATATATTACACTTAGAGCTCATGTAATATAAAAGAGTTTATACATACATGTTATATCATTTGAGCTCAAAAATTTAAAATATTGAATTCTTAAATCTTACGTATATATAAGATATTTTATTTAAATTTTTTAATGATATAAAATTTTTTATTTATATATGAATCATTGGATTCTTAAATCTTATGTATATATAAGATATTTTATTTAAATTTTTTAATGATATAAAATTTTTTATTTATATATGAATCATTTCAATGATCTTTTTCGTTTATTTGTTAGTTCGAAATCAAGTTTCATCTTGAAATCCGTATAAATAAGTTTTATCAACACAATTTTTTCGTACTCTTATCACCCCTTCCGAACATAAATATCTAGTCTTTTATTGGTTAGCCAAACAGAGTCTTATCCTAGCTCAGTAGTTCGTCAAACAGAGTGTTTTTCATTTTCACTACTTCAAATTTGGAGCCAAACGGAGTTTTCACATTATCTTCATCCTTTATCTTTTTTTTTTTTTCCTTTTTTTTATTGAATTGATTTAAATATGTAGTTTTATTGGTTAGCCAAACAGAGTCTTATCCTAGCTCAGTAGTCGTGCTTGAACTGCTTTTATTATTTTATATTTTGCTTATTTTTGTGCGCGTGCATGCGCACCGATCGTGATGCGCGTGCACTGGATCATGTATGTGCTTACATAAGCATGATGTATGAAAGTATATATATGTATTGAATGGATGTTAAATGTATATATCATGTATTTGTGCAATCACTTACGTATGTGTCATGTATGTATTTGATGTCCAAAGAATTTAATTTCTTTTATTTTGGTATCTCATTTAGGGAATTGATTTTAAGAATTTGAATTTGATGTTTTATTGATGGTTGGAACAGGATGTCGATTTCAGAGGGCTTATCCGATGTAGTTGGAAGCCAGGTGTGCAGCAATGGAGTTTGGCATGCTGAATTGCTTCCATCTATCAATGATGAACATGGAGGAGTCATCGTGGAAATGAAGGAGCATGTGGACTCTGACACCTTTGTTACTTTGCTCAGAGCTTCCATATTGCATTGGAGGCAACAGGTTGAATAATGCAATTGATACCTTCTTTGTTAGCTTTTGTGATTTTAACGGAACATGATTGGGAGATAACTCTAATCTTGAATTGTTTTAGCTGATCTCAACTGGTAAATGTTCATCTGGAGCCACCAGTTTTATTCTCTCTGTTGAGGATTTTTGTGAAGTAACAACGAGGAAGTGTGATTTTAGTAGATTCTGATCTAACTAAGTTATCAATTGGTGTTTTTTGGTGATTGTGATTTGAACAAAATGAACAAATCCTTGCTTTAATTATTGCTGCTCGGATTCTTAGTTGCATAATCAAGTTATTCATCATCTTCTAGAAACTTGATGTAAGGGTTTTAAGTTTCTTGGTTTTACTTTTACAGTGTATATCCATAACATTTGGAATTCACTATGCAGGGTAAAAAGGGAGTCTGGATAAAATTGCCTATTGGGCTTGTACATCTAGTTGAAACTGCAGTGAAGGTAATCTATGCTAATATTATGCCCTTGCCTAGTCCGAACTTGTAGAACAAAACTTTGAATTTATGTTTTAGCTTTGTTGGATATTGAAATTTGATATTGTTAAACTTTTCTGTTGCCCTTTTCATCTCTTGATGTTGATAATTATGATGTTTTGCTTGTCAAGTTCTTTGAAACACATTACATTGATTTTAGGAGGGGTTTAGATACCACCATGCTGAACCAAGTTACCTCATGCTCGTTTTTTGGATTCCTGAGACACCTAACACTATCCCTGCAAATGCAACACACCGAGTAGGCATTGGAGCTATTATCTTGAATCATAAAAGAGAGGTATTCCCTTAACTTCATTTTGTTTTAATTTTTTTAAAGCAAAAGATTAATTGATTCTTTATGCTGTGAATGTTGAGCTTGTTAATTGGTTTCTTCCCTTTGGTCCTTCCTGCTAAATTTTTTGCTTATAAGTTTCACCTGGTCCACTGGAATCTGGTCAGTGGTTAGACTGCTGACTGATATTATTGTAGAGGACACATTTTCTAATAGATTATGTATCCCTTACAGGCAATGGATTCGAACCTTGGTTTTGCATTCCAAAGGTTTCATACATCCCAAAGCTTACCTCTTCGAATGTTCAAACTCTAAGTCATCAAATTTACCATAATGCCAAATAGAAAGATACAATATTCGACCTAATAAGTTATATGTAACTGATGCAGCGGTTCAGAAGCTCATGCTCACATCTACATGGAGTTTCTATCCGCAGATTCACATGTTGCTTGTCATCTGAGTTTTCTTAGCAGAACTCTACATTTTTCTTATCTATATGAGTGTAACCCCACAATCTAGCCTTTTTCCTAAGTGTACACTTGTTATAAGTAATGATAGTATAGAACTTTTGTTTTCAGTTTAATCAAGCCTTTTTCTTTCATATCTGCTTCTAAATATGAATCTTCTTGGCTGATAGGTGCTTGTAGTTCAGGAAAAGAGTGGTCCTTTTCGAGGAACGGGCATATGGAAAGTTCCTACTGGGGTTGTTGAAGAGGTATGTCCCAGCATGCCATCATGAGGATTTTCACATCACCTAAAAAACTAAATTCATGTTGCTATCAAATAATAAATGAGATCTTATACAAACAGGGCGAGGATATTTTCATGGCAGCTATAAGAGAAGTAAAAGAAGAGACAGGAGTAAGTGATGATTGATGAGTATGTATAAATATTTTTTGTTTTTAAGTCTAGTATTAAACACAAGTATGTGGAGACCTCTAATTTTTCCTTTTTCAGATTGACACAGAATTTGTGGAGGTCCTAGGATTCAGGTACAATGTTTGCATGAGTAAAACGTCTTCTTGTCTTTAGGCTGCACAATTATATCTCAATAATTTCAGTTATACATCTATAACTTACATCACATATGTTACCAATCATGCTATGCTTCCCTCAAAACCCCATGTCTTTTTTTCAGGACAGTTTGACATTGTGTTGGTTGGGAAAACCTAAAAAGCACTGCTTCTTATATTAATAATTCCTGAAAAGGGAAAAAATAGTTTTCGCTCCATTATATATATGGCCTATATTGATCCCATAAATTGTGATTGGTTAAAAGGCATTTCCAAAAACTAATAAGAAAATACCCCTTTGATTTCACTATTATTTTTTGAGTCACTCTAGTTAGAATTGGCCAATGGTTGTGGAAATGTGGCCGTAAATCTAAAATGACAGGCATGAAAGATTCAGATGAGATAATAGTTACAGACATACCAGGTTGTGTAAAATTGGGCTGGTTTTTCAAAAATGTGGATATGGCGAGTATATATAGTACAGTTTTTTGATGAGCATGAATTGTGTTCACGAGCTTCCATGAAAATACTACTCTAAGTCAACAACTCCTAACCCATTTGTGTGGATTGTTCTTCAAACTTTGTTGACATTGCTTTTCCCAGATTTATATCATCTTATGTACCCTATCATATACCAGGCTTTAGTAAATTCTTTATTTTGACATCCGTTTATTAAATTCAGGCAATCACACAGGACATTCTTCGAGAAGTCAGATCTATTTTTCATATGCATGTTGCGTCCACTATCCTTTGACATTCAGGAGCAAGAGTTGGAAATTGAGGCAGCCCAGGTACGACTCATGTTGTTGTGCGCTATTTCCTTCATTCAGTAACTAGTCTTGAACTAAGAGTATGTACAAGTATACCAGCACTTTTCACAGACCTGATACATGTAGGCCTACCACTTATTTTTAACAATGTTAAGAAACACAAGTTTGAGTCAAATTGCAATAAAGTCTCTAACTTGCTGCTTCGATTGTAGTTACTTTTCAGAGCAAAATATTAGCTCTAGATGAGATAGTTTCTGTTGGCAAAGGCATTTCCTTTTCAACTTAAAACATTGTGACTTAGCATTAGCCCCCCAACCCCCTCCTGACAGAAAAAGAAAAGATACTATACTCCTGTCCACAGCATGCTTGCCTCGGATTGTTGTTTAGTAATTTAGTCTTTGTTGCTATCTTAAGGTGAATGTTCATTACCTTGCTTAAGAGTGAAGAAGCCAGGATTTCATGCGTGCATTTGCCAAACATCTTTCTTCTCATATGTTTGCCCCTTTTTTCCCACAGTGGATGCCTTATGAAGAATATGCAGCTCAACCTTTCGCCCAGAAGCATGAGCTTTTCTTACACATTAATGAATTATGCTTAGCAAAGGTAGACAGAAGCTATGCTGGGTTTTCTCCGCAGCCTACAATATCAATTTTCAGTGACCAACCATCTTCCCTTTATTTTAACAAGCGGGATCTGGACAAGTCAAGGTCTGCTAACAACCCTGAACAGTAAAATTGGGTTGATGATACCATAGCATCTGCTAGGCAACTCTATTTTTGTTTCTATTTATTAATCCTTTATTTCTCCATCCTGTCTTTAACTCTTTCTGATAAAGAAAAAGTGCAACGGTGGCAAAAAGGTCTTAGTTATCATCTCTTATGTAATTTGGTTTACAGACTACAGATCATATGTCTGACCATGCGGACAATGAATGGGAACAGCATCTGAATATGCCCAATTTAGACATAGCTTTGCTACAAGAAATAATTATACGAGGTAATTTTAGCATCTTTTCCCTTTGGGATCAAATTTGCTTACATTTGGATTGTTGCAAAAATTTATGTATTACTATAGTCAATATATGTTGACATGAATAACACAATAGTGTTTTGTATTACATTTTTTAGATGTGCCTACCTTTGATGGTCTTTTTAAATAATTTATGCTGAAAATCATCGTCTAATAACTAATATGGCAGTATATTACTATCCTTGTTGCAATCTTCTCTTCCCCCTCCCATCAACACCTTAGAATTCACGGCAATCCTTGTTTTTTGTAGTTTATTTACATTATTTATGACAGATGATTGTAGAAATGGAATGACACATATTACCCTTGATATCCTAGCTTGATTTTCCTCCTTGTTACAACTTCCTTTGCTTTTGGTATGGTTTTATGTTTAACAGGCATTTTTGGTGTCTGAAAAAATTTATCTGCTTGTTACTCATATTCTTAGAGGGCTATTCCTTTTATGTGATTGATCTTTAAATTAGTTGACATGTAGACTTGATTTCATATGTTTGTCATCCTTAGTTCAGAATATTTTCAAAATAATCCTATCAAGTTGTTGACGTAGAACACCCTTAAAACATTGATCAGTTAAAAGAGATCAATCAGGTTAAAAGAGAAATGATTTGTCTTCACCTTTGGATCCATCCAAACTAGTTAAGCTTCTAGACTGCCTCTTCATAACAATGACAGGTGGTCTGCCAGGCGGCAAAAAACCCAGGAATGCAGAAGAAAAAGATGAAAGATCTAAGCAAACCCTGTAGAGAGAGCCTCAGGTTATAAGTGTCGTACTTTCTTCAATCCCATAGAACTCACAGATTGTCAGAATCACTCCCCTGAATAAACAATCACTTTCTGCATCTTTTCTGAAGTGAAACTTCTTTAGTCAAGGTTGAATATGTGTCCAGCATTTGTCTTCCTTGTGGCACTTTTGATATCTGCCTTCGACCTTAATTACATGGTTTTAGGGGATGATTCTAGTGAAGTCTTGCCTTCACCAACTCTTTGCTTGAATTGCACAGTATGTCAACATCCCTGCCATCCTCTCCCACCAACCTCGCCTCTCTCTGGTTATCCTTCATATGGAGCCTCTCCACCACCCCCATCTTTGTCTGTCTATCCTTCATATAGAACTCCACCTCCACCATCACGTCCAGTTCAAGCCAACTGTCCACCAGCTCCGCTGCGGTGCTGCCAGTACCCCTCCCATCCAAATCCCTATGATTATGTGCCTCTTGATGACCATTCACCAACCCCTTATTTGCCCCTTTCCACCTTTTCCATTGTAATACTGTTGTTGTCATTTGCTGTTTTGTTCTAGCTCTACGCACTAATTTTCTAGTTTTGTCATCACCAAGTACAGAATATCTCAAAAAAAAAAAAAGTTGTTTGTAATAACGTCAAGGTAATCTTCAATAAGCTTCTAGTTTCATCACCTCTGAGCATGTAATTGTGTTAATGATTTGATGCTGCTGTTTTTCAGCACTAGAGTTACCTTTCCTCGTCTGAATTATCATTCTATGAATTGTTTTGCGGTTTATGCATGTTCATGTGAATTCGGATCAAATCAAGTTAGGTTTGGATTTTAAATATTTTATTTAAAATTTGACTCAAAATTTAAATAGATTTAAAAGTTATATCCAAATTCATTTAATGAGTTATAATTTTTTGTTTAAATCTTTGACGGGTAATTCGACCTATTTGTGATGCAAGGCACTAGTGTATTGTCTGCCAAGTAGCAGAAACATCTTAGTTTTCATTCACCACCTGGCAGACTGTATTGTCCTTTATTAACTTGGATCCAAATAGCTTTCTGACTTCACTTTTCACACAATGCCAAGGATTAGAAAACTTTATCTTATACTTGTTCACAAACTTTTATCCTCCCGTAGGGTACTGCAATTCTTTTACTCTTTGCTTAGAAACTCCTAGATTTGTGGGACTCGTGCCAAATGGCTTAATGAGGTTTTTAAGTCTTTGTTCCCTGCCATTGTTTGCTATCCGGTGCGGGCTCTACTTATTACTAACGGTACGTTCGACTGGGTTAGATTCCCCCGTGGCCCTGTCCCCTTTATCAGAAGACCAGACCACATGACGTAATTGGAAGAATCTATCCTTCGGGAATTCTTATGAATTCATCAGTTGATGTGGTATTTTCTTTGGTCTTTTACAAACAAAGCACGTCTGTCTTGAAACCAATTAAAAATACCTCCATAGGCAGTGTAGATTAATGTATGATAAGTAATAACCCCTAAAAACTTAAAAGCAATCTAAGGCTTGAACATCCCCCTTTTGACATGTACAATAAGCTAAGATTTTGTAATTCCCTTTTTCTTTGATTCAAAATTCAAAGATGATTAGATGAAGGGTTGGTGATCCTTTCATCTAGTGATCTACCATTTTGTAGCTTGGTCTTTCCTTTAAATGCTGCCGTTTTACTTATATGATCATGTGAACCATTCATAAATGAGTTTGTAATTAAGAAGAGAAGAACATCAAAAGTCAAAACTGCTGGCATAAACCGTGTATTACTAGATCTAAAGGATCTGTCTTTTGACAATAAACAATAATCAAACTTACATCCAGCAAAAAGAAAATAACAAACCTTAATCTATCAAACACAAAAGAAAATACTTTGAAAACTCATCAGACACCAAAACAATATCAAAAAAAAAAAAAAAAACCTAACCACGCTGAAGGTAAGTAATAAATTTGGCAATAAGAGGCATCACTTATTTCTCCAGAATATAAAAATGAAATGAAAAAAGGAAGACAAAATTAAACTAGAAAACTTACAGCAGCAAAAACACAAACAAGAAGCTCAATCCAACACCAACAAACCTTCCACCCATAAAACTCACAGCAGTATTATTATCAGCTGTCTGATCAGCTGCGTCACCATCTGGTGAATCAGCCGGTGCATCTGATGCTGGTGTCGCTGCTGACTTGGACTTGGACTTGGATTTGGATTTGGATCCCTTGGGTGCATCTGCTGCCTCCTCTGGGGCTGGGGCTGGGGCTGGGGCTGGAGTCGGAGCTGCCTTGAACAATTCTCTAGGCATCAAGACTTTATCAATTGTATAAATTGCAACGGGCTGCTCATCCAGTAAAGTCCCAGTTATTTTGACAGTGTTGACCTTGGTCTTTAGTGTCACTTCTTCGCCCTCATTTTGCACGGTGAAATCAAACTTGCTAGCTCCATCTGTAGCCAATGTGTTCATGAGTCCATTGTTGGATTTCAACATGGATAAAGATTGGTACACTGGCACACCAAAAAATTCAAGGAAAGATGCTTTCCCTGAGGCTGTCAAGTTCTTGTACTTTGGGAAAAAGGCTTTAAATGCATCATCCAGAGGGCAGAACACAGTCAATCCTCCATTAACATTGTCCTACAATCAAGCACGGTAACATGTTCATTATTCAAAAACCCTTTACCATAAAATTTTCGAAGGGAGAAAATCCAAGATAAATTTAGAGATTATGAAGTAACAAACAAGCAAAATGTCAATAACTTTTATACTACAATATAATTCACACAGATCTCTTTCCCCATTTTTACATTTAAATAATTAGCTTCCCTGCAGCTTGACCTGAAGAAACATCCCAAATATGCATAAGATTGCAGAACAGTACCCTTCCTTGGCTGTTTGTTTTTGCTATTACTACTAGCTTCTAACCTATTTTTGTCACAATCACTCCCAAGTTCCAACCACTTAACCTATCTCTAGCTCAACTCCATATCTAAACTACCCCTATCATTGAGTTTATGTGCAGAACAACTGCCTCATGCATTTACTACACGTTTGCTTAATTGGATACCAACAAGCAATTTATCATAAGATCAATCAAAATTATTTATGTAAATTTCCTAATGCGGGATAGTGTTAAATCCAGAAAAAAATGTGCATGTGCCTAGGTCCTAACACTTTAATGCACATTAGCAGTTGGCATCCAACTGGAAAGAAAACAAACCCAGATCTGGATTGCTTTCTCTAGACCTTGTCCAGAAACTCACATGCAAAAACAAAAAAAAATTTTTGCAAAATTTCAAGATGTCATTGTCATACTTTTAAATTAAAAATTACCCACCCACCCTCCAACAAAACCTTGATTTGTGAAAACTAAAATTAGTCAACTAAAGAGTAAAGACAACAGTATCTTAAGCAAATATCATGACTTTTCAATCTACTTTACACTATTTCTTCCACCAGCTCCATTTTAAACCAAAATCCCATCATCATCCCTCAATCAAATGGCCCAAAATAAGCTCTTTCTATCCTTTTCCTCCTTTTCCTCTACCCCATTTATTTCTTTCACCTTCTTTTTCACTAATCAGCCTAAAAAATCAAATCTTCTCAGAAACATTTTAAATCAAATTAATACATTTACATAAAATAACAAATTTTCAGCTTACCTCATATGTTCCCATGGCTTCAGGATTTGCCAAAAGAGTATCAGCAAACACTTTACATCCATGTGCTGACATAATCTCAGTAATATTCAGCTCACTTGGCCCTGGAGAAGGTGCCTCAGCTACAGCAGAAGGCAAAGCCTTGCTGATCTGAATCACAGATATATTGTAAGGAATTTCCTCAACAGATTTAACAAAAAAGGAATCCGCACTTCCGCCATTGTCTTCAGCTCCAAAACCAACTTTCCCACCTTTAAAATCGGTTATATTAACAAATCCTGAGACTCCTGGAGCCACCCCAGTAGCTTGGAACATAGTAGCAGCTAGTGCAGTGCCATTGGTTATTTGGTGAAGCTTCTTGGCACCAAAGTAGTCAAGAAGAACATGAAGGGAAAGGATGTTTTTCAAGGTGTAAATGGAAGGATTTTTAGCTAAGAGAGATGACATGGCAGTGTTGTCTAAGGCAAGAACAGTGATGGTTGTGCGACGGTTGATCTCTTGAGCTAAGTGCGTGAGAGTAAGGTAATGGTTGAATGTTGATAAAGATGGGTGCTTTGCTAGTAGACGTGTTATGTTATGGCCATTTGAGGTTTGGAAGAGAAGAAAAACAGAGAAAATGAGAAGATGAAGAAAATGTTGCCTTTGCTGCATTGTGTTGTTTCTCACTGGTTTAGTTTTCCTTTCTGGGTTCTTTTCTCTTGATGAAGTGAAGGAAAAGAAAAGAGAGTTTTGTAGTGTTTTTGATGCCGGTTATAGGGGAAGTAAGCAAAGTTTAGTGCTTGGAGAGGGGAAAACAGGCTCGGAACGTGCTTAAATTACAAAGGAAGCCACTGTGCTGGTGTTTTTGGGGTTTGAAAGAGTGAGAAAAGGGAGCAGAGGAGGCCTGGTTTTATAGATAGCTTGTGAGTGTGACTTTATAAGGGTGTCTATTATAGATGAAACCAGAAAACTTTGGTTAGTGGAAATGGGTTTAGATTTTGGTTAAATTACCAGGGGAGCCACTAAACATGATCTGGTTTAGAAAAAGTGAGAGAGTGGGGAAGAGAGCAATGGGAAGTGAGACTTTCAGAGTGACAATAGGGGAAAGATGAGACACTGACTACGGTAAGGTTATGTTGGGAGTACTTGGCCACTAGGGCTGGAATTGAGACCAATTGCCACTTAAATAATTTGCATTTATTTACAGTAATAATTTTATGTTTTTAGCTTTAGGAGCAAAGTGATTCGAATCTAGATATTAGACAAATTTAATAGCCCCATCTCTTGTTTCTTTGAATATTTTCTTCAAATCTTTTTATTTTTATATTTTATAAATGTGTAATGGTCTATTATGTGCATGTGGGTTTCAATAATTAAGCTACAACAACAGCTTTGATTATGGTAAACTTCAACTCCGTTCAACTTTTGGGAACTATGGTTTGAACTTCCATTAAACATTATTAAAAGGGGAAAAAAATAAATGATGGTAAGCATTTGAATCTGTAAGGTGTTTAAGACCAAACCCTTGATTTTAAGCAAACAGCTGCCGGCAAAAAAGGGAGTGCCAAAAAGAGAAAAGAAAAGGAAGGGACTTTGGGAATGAAAATCTAATGAAGATTTGGGATTGAGTAAAGAAGCAGAAGGAAACATGTCACGTGCTGTTAGCATCTCTGCCTCAGAAATCAAGGCATGTTACTAAAGCTTCAGTCTGAGAAAATGGTCACACCAAAAACCATTTTGCAAGCATAGAATAATATTGGCTGTATCCAAAAGAATTTGATCTATTAATGGTAATTTAAAATATAATATGTTAATAGGATATAAATACGATATAAAAATAATATATAAATAAATTTACGTAAAATTTGAATGTAACACTTTATCTCTTATTAGTTGTATATTATAATTAATTTTGAGATATAAGTATTTTAACATCTTTAACTTATGAGATATTTTTTATGAAATAAAATCATGAGATTTAAAATTAAAAAAGATAACATTTTATAAGTTGATGTAAACTGTGACATTTGATATCAAAATTAATTTGATAATATGCTTCGAAATATTAATGTTATGTCACTGCTCAAAAATGCTAATGATACATCAATGAAAATGATAAACCCTCGTTAAAGCAGAGAAAGATATTAAAATCCTAAAAAGAGTTACTAATCCAACATTGATTGAAGGTGCACAATACTTTTAAACTATAAGATCACAATTGATAATGATAGACCTTCATTAGAGTAGAAAAAGATATCATACTCTTAGAGAAGAGTTATCAATCTTACATTGGTTGAAGGTATATATTATTTTTAATTTATGTGACATTTTTGTGAAATAAAATTGTAAGATTTTTGAATCAAAATAAATAATATTTTTATAAGTTGAGTGTGATTTTTCGTATTAATAATAATTATATATTGATTTAATAAGATAAAAAATTGTATTTTATATTTTTTTGTTAATATAAATTGTGATATGTAATTTTTATATAAAATATAATAAAAATATATAAAATTTAATATTTAATGTTATATAAACATAAAAATCACTAAATCTAATTCAACCCACTTTATTTTTTTTATTTAAATTGGTTCATCTTTTTTTAATCAAACAGAGATTATGGATCTTATTAATACACATAATCACGAAAAAAAAGTTTAAAGAGAAACTTTAAACTTCCATGATTATATTAAGGCTTCAATCAAAATAAATGGCTTAGGTTTTTCTAACAAAATTTCATGCTAATCACCAATCGTTGGCCCTCGACGTTGTTGATCCAAAAATTGGATCAATTGCCACCGTCCGATTGATTAACAGATGCCAACTTGACAGTGTCGGCGCAGGATTAAAATGGTCATGACTCCATGAGAAAGTAACCAATCAATTTGGGGTAATACCGTAGTTTGATAAAAATTAGGAGGCCAATTTGGTAAAATCAGGAACTTGAGTTAAGTTTCTATATGTGGGGCCAATGCCACGTGCACCGAAAACAGCCAGGCTGGAAACTTTCAATGAGAGAACTCCAGGTGGACGGCAAGTGATCAGCTTTGCGACGTTAGCGAAAACCTCCACCGACAAAAGACTTCATGGCTTGGTTGTAGGCACGATGACAATTTGACGGTTATGATTCTTCCTGATCTAGCGCTTAACTTTATAACAAACTTACCCCAAAAAATGAATTATTTTATTAAAAGTTTATTTTAATAACTTAACTATTTTTTTTTACATCACATGATAAAAAGTACTATTAAAAATGTTTAATTACACTCAAACATACTAACTTAATTATAAATACATATATTACGCGGTTGATGGGTAAGAAAAATTTTTAAAATTAAAAATTAATTTAAAATTATAATATTTGATTTGATTTGATATATATTTTTTTATTTAATTTAAATTAAACTTAAATGTTAAATATATATTAACTTGAATCGAGAAGTGAAAAATCGAATAGATTATATATTTTTTGTTAGTTTTTATATATTTTTTAAAATTTATAAAATAAAATAATTATTTTATATTTAAATTTATCTAAATATATTTAAAATTATATTAAAATAATATACAAAAAATTAAGTTTAAAAAATCACTAAATCAAATTGATAAAATTTGATTTTATATAATTTAAAATTTAAAATTTTATAATTTTATACATTATTTGAAAAAATCAAATATAATTCTAATCGTTGTCGCCCATAACTATAAATTAAAGAAATATATAATCAAACCTTAAGGGGAGTTGATAAATTTGGATTAGAAATTTTTTTCTCAAAACTATATCTTGGATTCAAAGAAAGCAATAGATGGATTTAAAAAAAAAATAGACAAATCGAATTTTGAACAAAATTTTTCAACGGCTAAACGGATTTGACTCGATCTTATTCACGAACTAAGTTTATTAACCACATAATTAATTATTTTTAGTCCATGGACAAGGTGGCCATTGGATAGCATTAGCAAAAGATGTAATCATTTTATTTTTAGGTTTAACCTATGAGATAATTATTCAATTTGGATGCAATTATAATTAACCAAGGATTAATCAAAGATGAGGGATCCACAATTACAAAAACAATAGGCAAACATCCCACAATATTATGAATTGGATGCCACCATGCTAAAGATTTTCATAACTACAAACAGATCATTGGGAGATGTTTACTTTTAAACATTTTCGATTTTGTTTTTTCACTTAAGATTTTCATATTTAATGCATTCTACACATTTTCTTGCAACGATTAGAAGACAGATGATAAGTTTCGCAATAACTAAAAATCAAAATCAACATTACAAGTGTAAATTAACGTAATTTTGTTGAATTATTTGTAAATTAACAGAATTTTCGTTAAATTATTCTTAAATATATTTAATTTTTATTCATTTATATTCATTTATTAAATTTAACAAACAATTTTAAATAATATTTTTATATTTATTTATTAAATAAATCAAACATAAACAAAAATCTGTTTAATTCATTTATATTTAAAAACAAATTTATTTGTTTATAATTCATTTGTTGTTTATTTATAATAATACTAATAAAATTATATTTTTATCTTTTACCTAGATCTATTTTAAAATTTGTTTAAATTTTTTTTATTATAATTTATTTATTGTTAAAAAACATATTTATATATATATATATATATATATGTTCATGAATCAATTCGTTTAATTTAATCAAAACAAACACGAACTGAACATGAACATTATACCATTTAAACAAACCGAACTTGAATGAATAAAACAATTTTCAGATCAATCGCAAATCAAACCTGAACATCTTTAAAAATACACGATCAAACTGTAGACATACATTTATTTATTCATTTTCGATTTTATTTATTCAAATCGTTTACGGCCTCAGATGCTGCCCAATATGAGTCCACAACAACAAAATGTGTAAAGATTTAAAGCTTCTAGTTCGTAGGCCAATGTGCTAGTATTTTTGCCAAACTCTTATTTCAATTTTATCTCAAAAGAGAAAGGCTAACAAAGAAAGTTTCCCATGAAGGTTTCAGTCTCCCACTGCAAATCCAAGTCAACACAATGCCAAAAAAACAAAAAACAAAAACAAAAACAAAACAAACCAACAATGAAAGAGCAAAAGCAGTGACAAATTTCAGAATTTCGGAAATGGATTCCAAGTGAAAACAAGAGATAAACAACCACTATGCAAATGCAACCATCCCAGTTTGGGCAGTGTAGCAAATTTGCCAGTCTTCAATTCAACTAATCTATCTTATCAAACATTAACTACCAATAGATAAATAATCTTATCAAACATTAATACCATATAGGGGGCAGAAAAACAACAATGGGATACTGAATTTCATTTCATTTATCCTTTATTTCAAACAGGACATAGAAGCATCTGATTAATGTATATCTTCCTTCACTTTGGCCACATTTTCTATTGATTACACAAAACCAAATAAGGCCATCAAAGACCTTGCCTATCAGCAGCTTCAGCAACAATTGGCAATCTTGGCAACTGCCCGAACAAGCAAGGAGAGGAACCATAAATCAAACAAACCAAAAGCAACAAAAACACAGTGCCATCCAAGCTCATCACCAAATCCAAACCCAACCCATCTCTTGGATTGAAACTCCTCTCCAATTGATCAGGAGATATCAACAAAACATCAAGCACAATAGCCTGCATGGTGTTAAACCTCACATACCTACTAAACTTTGGATTCTTGAACAACCACAAAGTACAAAGTTAAAAACACTAAGAACCCATTTAAAGGAAAGCTTCTGAACAGTTTAATAGCTAGGAAAAGTGGTTGTATAAGCACTTGAACTGAAGTGAAATGTGTTATAACATAATTGCCATACTGTATACCATCAAAGAAAGGATAAAAATAACATATTGCTGAAATTAACCTGTCTGGACCATCAGCTGAGTCATCACCTCTATCTTGGACTATGAAAAGTTTTCTTGTTGGGTTTTTTTTTTTTTTTTTATTGGGAAAGTTTGGTATAGAGAAAAAAGATGAGGGCTTTTTAAGAGAGGAAAGTGAAGGGGAGTAATGGGTTTTTTGAGATGAGGTTAGAGGAATTGTTGGTGAAGTGAGAGGACTGAATAAAAGCATCCTGCTTTGAAGTTCCTATGGTTATTTTGGATGTAAAGTGTAGATCTTGCAGAACAGCAGAAGCTCAGCTCGAAGAGAAAGAGTATTGGATTTTCTTGGATAATGAGATAAATTTGGGGGAAAATTGTCAATATCTTTGTTAACAGAGAAGATTACTAGTAAATGATTAGTGAAAGATGAATATATTTTTCATTTATAATACTACCAACAATTTCATTTATTTATTAAAATCATGTGATGGTTATTACTAAAAGATTAATAAAAAATTAATATATTTTTCTCTGGGATTATTCTAAGATAAAAACAAATAGACTGGACTTAGATCCCATGAATAATTTCAAATTCAATTATTATAGTGTAAATTTCTGACTTTAGCTGAAAATTTTAAAATTGTATATGAAATAATATTACTTCATTGATACAAATTTCTGCTAAAAACTATATGCCACATCACAATGAAGGCATGCTTATGGGTCACAATTACCTTCAATTTCTTTGGGGAGCATGATATATGCTTCATCATCAACAGTCATACCTATATAAACGTTAAAAATGGTTGCTAAATAGTTTGCCAAAATGTTTCAGGTGCAGGCATGGGTATTTTCACAACATTGTTAATACTGTAGACTCTGGTAGGGAAACAAGACATAACTTCAAATAACAAGACCAACATGTTGGCCTTGAAAGTCAGAACACAAAAGAGCTAGAAGACAAGCATAAAATTTTTGAAAAGCTGGCTATTCTATGGAATCTTTCTCCTAAAATAACAAACTCAATCTCTTCAAAATTTACTCCATGAGCTTCCATGTGTTGTCAATAATTTATTTTTTAATCAGGTGACAAACCGTGAAAGCTCATTAGATGCTGAGTGGAAGAACTGGAATTGGAGATCAGAAGGAGATATGATGCTCAATGGTGCCTTTTTCACACCTCCTGGAGAAGAAGCTCCAGCAAGCTACATAAAAGCATCAAGCATGGTGGCAAAACCAACTTCACTTCTAACATGGATATCTCAATATGCTGGAACCCTAATATCTAGCCAACCAAGTTTCTACTTTTCTATATTTTTTGGATTTATTTTCCAACATCATAAAAAAATTTCAAAGCCGGACTGATTGAGGATGTAAGGATGTATAACTAGATATATGACAGGGCTACAAAAGCTTTTGCTATTCTCCCTTTGTACCCCAGGTCAGGAAAAAAAAATAAGGTAGGGGCAGGGTGATCTTAATTAGCTTTAGTAAAATGGTTAGACAGTTGAAACAGTATATTACAAATCTGTGCTCATCATTCTGACAAAAGGTACAAAGTTATTCCAATTTTCAACCCTAAATATACTATCATTCATTCTGAAATAAGTAAATGATCTTACAACTTCTGCCTGGGGATTGTAACAGTTTGAATGAATTTTCCATAGTCCAGTCTGAAAGAATTTAAGAGAGAGAGAGAGAGACAGAGACAGAGACAGAGACAGAGAATGCAAATGAGTTACGTTAGTAAAGAAAATACTGGCAAAAGAGGTGAAGGACCAGGGTTACCTTGGTCGAAAGAGTTAAAAGCCATCACAATTACCATATTAGTCATGACCAGAAAAACAATTAAATTACCAAATCTTGTTATTAAGCTAAAGGTAGACAAGAATTTATTAAGATAGAATGACACTTACTTTGTCAAGCCGTTCGGTTGTATTTCTTCCAATCACATTAATTATCCTTTTCTTTGAGACAGACTGTATCTGTATTGAAACTCAGAAGATCAAAGAAATTAGTCTTTGGCACAAGAGATGCACATGAATGAGACAAGTTGCATCCAATATTCACACTCTTTAGCTGTTAAATCACATATCATATAGTCTTAAAAACAACCCATTTAAACCTCCTTATAACAGGCAACAAGCTGTTTCCTCTATAGCTGTCACAGATTACAACCAAGCCCTCAGGGGCAGTACAGAAGGAAGGTGACAACAGAATTGTTTCTTGAAATATTGTAACCCAGGAGAAACTTTCAAGACATTTCATAATTATACCAGATGTCTGGAAAGGAATAAGGCTTTAAGGGTGATGTTGATTTTGATAAACACAACCTATCAGTTCAGTTCCCTTTTCTTTTTATATGTTAGGCACTAGGGAATGCAGCCCATCAAGCCCTAAAAGGTACACAGAATCAGCTGATCAGTTATAAGCAGAGTCAAGGAGATCACACATTGTTTATCAAACACTTTGATTTAGGTAGAGTCACAGTTCTATTAGTGTATGTTGACGATATAATTATAACCGGAGATGATGAAAAAAAGAAAGAATCTCTAAAACAGTGTTTGGCTAGAGAATTTGAGATAAAAGAGTTAGGGAGATTGAAATACTTCCTAGAAATTGAAGTAGCTCACTCACAGTATGATATTTTCATCTCACAGCAAATATATATGATGGATCTTTTGAAGGAAACTTGAAAGCTCGCATGTAAACCTGTAAATACCCCTATAGATCCTAATCATACACTTGGAGAAGCTAATGAAGATACTGTTGTAGATAGAGAGATGTATCAGAGATTAGTTGGAAGATGCATTTATCTCTCACATACTAGACCTGATATACCATATGCTGTGAGTGTGGCAAGTCAATTTATGCATAGTCCCAAAGAAGTGCACCTGTAGGCTATCTACCGTGTATTGCACTATTTGAAGGCCAATCCTGAGAGAGGTATCTTATTCACAAGAAATTCGGAGCTGGTTCTAAAAGCATATACAGATGCAGATTATGCGGGTTCAATAACTGATAGAAGATCACCTTAAGCTACTACACTTTCCTAGGTGGTAATCTAGTAACTTGGAGGAGTAAAAAACAGAATGTGGTGGCAAGATCAAGTGTTGAAGCAGAGTTCAAAGCAATGGCTCAAGGAATTTGTGAATTACTATGGTTAAAGATTATCCTAGAAGACTTGAAGATCAAGTGGGATGAACCAATAAGACTCCACTATGATAACAAGTTTGCAATAAGTATTGCACACAATCATACGCAACATGACAAAACAAAACACATTGAACTAGACCCGCATTTCATAAAGGAAAGACTAGACAGTGGGTTGATTTGTACACCATATGTATCAACCAAGGGTCAACTTGTAGATGCATTAACTAAATGTCTCAGCAGTGCAACATTTCAAGAAATTATTTCCAAGCTGGGAATGGAAAACACCTATTCACCAGCTTGAGGAGGAGTATGAGAAAACACTTATTTACAGCAGGTTGTAATATTGTAATCTGTATATTTATATTTGAATCTCTAGAATTAAGTATTTGTATCCTTAGAATTAAAGACAGAAAACTAGTATAGACAATCCCTTAATTATAGGATCAGTTTTAGAAAAATTTAGTTTCCTAGTATACCCACTAGTTAGTTGTATATAAACCTAAGGTGCATGTATAATTCTTTATGAGCAGTTTTTCAATATACATTCAGTTTTACTCTTAGTTTTCTATATAGTTTTATTTTTTAGTTTTTCTGCAATGAACATATTTAGCTAATTAACAGATAGCATCAAATTATAATATCGTTCACAATAGGCATAATGGGAAATGTCAAAACACAGCACCAATCATTGGAACTATACACATAAACTTCTTTAATCAAATACAAAAATAAATTCAGATGAAGGAATGGTAATGTTTGTAGATTTAAGCAGATAAAATTGCATTGACTAAAATCACAAATTTCAAGATCAAAGAATAAAAGAAAATTTCTCAACAGAGAGATAACTCATGCCTGTTTCAGTAATCCTTCAGGACTGCAAAGATATGTCGGTGGGGTTTCACTGTCGATCATCTCTAGGCAGCTGTAGGGAAAGTTAAAGAAATGAAAATGCCGAAAGAAATATGACTAAATATCTACAACCATTATACATGCACAAACTTAGATAAGAGGAGGTACACAATGAAGTAGCATAGAAGTTCAAAAAAGACAAGGCAAACTTCCAAGTATATTGACGCTTGCTGCTCCCTAAGCATCTTATACTTCATTTTGTAAATTTTAACCTCAAGATTTGATCAATCTACAAAAGGAATCAAATTGGTTTCAAACTTTCTACAAAATAAAGCATCACTCAGGAGATTCACAGCCTTGCATGTCGATCAGTCCACTCTATTTTTTGGGCAAGTATCAGTTTTCCCCAAAAAATTGCACCAAAATGTTTTAAGTCATTAAATGAATAATGCATTGTGCTGAAAGTTTTTGGAAAAGGAAACACAACCAAACAAAAAACCCATCTAGGTAAAGAAGAAATCAAGAAAGAGAAAAAGAAAGAATTAAATAGAGATGAAGTTCTCACGGAATATAAAAAGCAGCTCCCATCTAGGTAAAGAAGAAATCAAGAAAGAGAAAAAAAAAGAATTAAATAGAGAAGAAATTCTCACGGAATATGCAAAGCAGCTCCATGGCGAGACAACACTGAGACGACTGGATCATAACCATCCCTGAGAGCAGTGTTGTAGTAACCAGCAGTAAGTTCAGCAGGGTGTGATACAGTCTGGTACCACCAATAAATTCCACCAATTTTAGCCACCAACATAACAGAAGTTTGCTCATCTTCTTGGTATTTTTTCAGTATCTTTGCTGCCTTTGCAAGAATGGCATCTGCATGACAAATCAGCCTACCACTGTACCATTCCTGCAAAAGATCATTCCAAAGTCAGGTTTCTTAGATTCTGAATAACTCTAAGTAAGTTTTGGTAATCATTTTTAATGTGAGGCTGGGCATTGCACAGTGAATTTCTGAAATCATGATGTTATAAGCAAAACACACTTCCCCAATTAATACATACCTTTACTTATTAGTAACCTTGGTCTAAAGCAATATATTATTTGATCATTTCTGAAATGATTTGATAGCTACTGATAAGGAATAACAACTCCAACCAGGAGCTTTACCCCATATATTACCATTTTAGTAGATGAATAACTTCTTGCAAAATAAAAATGTTGCAATGATAATAAATAACCATAACTATGACTGTCAATGAACATTTAACTTAGCACAGCACTTCTGTATTGCAAATATCTTGTCAATGGCTGAATGCATCAAACTCAAATGGATATTTTAAGTCCTTTTCAGTTAACGTATTGTAGCAGCACAAATAGAGATAGTGCATGAAAGTTGAAGAGTATTAATCCACCTCAATTCATATGGAAATTTGTTAGACATAAATCTGGTATGAAAATATTAATAGATAAAGCATACATACCAGGAAGAAACGACCATAATCAGATAGAAAGCTTTCCTGTCCCTCTTCAAAAAAGGGCACGCCTGATGGAAAACTGTTGTAACAGCCAGCATTCTGTGGCCCTCTGTCTCCCCATTGTGGCTTTCCTACTCGGCAGGCAGCCATCTTTAAGTCCTCCATCCTGTAAGCAAAACAATCTTGAGAATAATGAAACATCTGAGTTTGCATTATAGGATGTAAAAGCTTTACACCTACATGTACTTATCATAACACTGGAATTCACCAATGCCAGGGAATTTCCATCTACCATCACCAAAAGGATGAGCAGGATACCTACACTAAAAAAAACATCCAATGGCTTCATAATTATGTTTCAACAAAAACTTCACAGTTTGAACATAAAGAGGGAAAAGAATGACATAAGAACCATACAGTACCTAAGTTCTCCAGAAGGACCAAGACCAATGCTTATTTCTTCAATTACACTCCCTATAAAAGATTCGAATTTGTTAACAAAACTAAGCATGAAGTCTTCATAACATTGGAGAGCAGTCCGGCCAGACAATAGAGGAACTTGGTCCACCCCTAGTGTAAGATAATCATTGTTGGAGAAGCCATATCGATCTCGATAGTATATATCTTTATTTGCATCACCAATCTGAGAGAAGAAAAGAAAAGTATTAGATAGCAGTAATTTAGCAGTCACAATAATCATAATACAAATAAGGACCTCTTTATGTATTTCTCATCTTGTCATCTGGAGTAGATTCATACAAATTGGAAGATTGAATGCAATCTTACCTAGAGGATTACAATAGTAGATCAACTAGCAAAAGTGAATGGTTTTTGAGGGAAAATAAAAAATAAGAAGACAGCATAACAAGTTGCCGTCATAATTATCACATCACCATTGGTGGATCAAATAGCAAGATTCCTACCAGTCTAATATGTTGCACAAAATAAAACCTTTAGTTCAAACAATTAAAAGGACCATAAATCAACTGTGCAATTATCACTCAGTTTGCAACTACATAGCAGTGTAACAAGTAAATGGGCAAACCTCTAAAATCCACAGAGGAAGACTCACACCCCCTTTTCCATTAGATGAGTGAACATTTGAGTGAAAAGACAAAGCAACATGCAACTTCAGCCCTGAATCAGATATCAATTTAAAAAGCTCTTCATATAGAGACCAATTGTAGTCAAAAGGAGAAAAACGCTCCACTATTCCCCACCAGACCTCAACTCCAATTCCATGAACACCTGCCAACTTGAGTGCTTTTAGAGATACGGTTAAGGCCTTGATTCTGAAACAACAAAGACCAACTTGAAAACCATTTTATTTTCAAAAGTAAAACAAGACATAATATCAAAGATTTAAGATAGCAAAACAAAAAAATTGGATCCTATAACATGACCATGTTAATTAGTACAAAAGTGGCTATATTCTCCTTATAGCGGACAAGTATGAGGAATGCATAGAGTCTACCTCTCTGTTAGAAATGATAAACCATAACATATAGTGATAATCGAGCAGATGTAAGGCCAAAACCTTACTTTCTAATCCTTGGACTCCCAGAGGCATCAAGAGCAAATGCATCCATGGGCATCATTACAAAAATAGGCACCCTCTTATCTTTTGATGATTCCAGTATTGTAGATCTCGATTTCTCTCGGGCATCCATGCTGCAAGATAACAATACTAAAACATATAAAAATCTGCTAAAGGAGAAAGAAAAAAGCCACAAAATTTTAAGTTCAGCAACCTAAGCAGGAACTTGTATGAACAGAGATAATCCCTTTTCCAGGCAAACTAAAATAAATATATACAAAAGCATCATATAACTAAGAAACACTTACTCAACCACAACAAAAACACATGCTTACTTCACTATATTAAGATAATCCCTATTCAATCACAACCAGAAACATGAGCTTTGCTAAAGAAAAAACACTAGCTTAATTACTGGAATGGTTCCAAGAAATAATTCCTTTTCCTAATCGCTGATTGGCCACATGTCTAAAAGCCAAAAGCTTGACTTTATGAATTCAAAATTTGATAAAGGCATTACAAATGCTTTCTTCTTCTTTTTCTTGTCTGAATCGCTATTATTTCTCTCTTCTAATTTATTAAATAAATAAAATTTTTTATTTAATTTGATATTTCAGCTCTAAAAAACTGATTTTATATTTATTAATTCAAAAAATTTCCTCTTTTTTTTCTGATATTATCGCCAACCAAACATTAACTGCAATGCACAGCTCATAGATACGAAAAATCCTTTTTTTTTTTCAATAAAACTAATTATAAGAAAAAAAAATGAGGCAAAAACAATTCAAGCACAGATATCAAAAAAAATTTCATTTTTGTATCATTTTCTCGTAATCAAAGAGGAAGGAGAGAGATAATATGATAATGTAATTCACCGACCTGAAAATGCGACGGTTAGCGGCAACGGATCGCCATTTACTACGAAAGAAGCCGTTTGTGAACATGCGGAGCGCCGAAACGTTTCGAAGAAGAAACTTACGCGTTTTCGCTAAATCGCGATCGAAGCTCGATTTTGCGTTCAAAGTGTAGTGGCATCCTCCACACTTGCACGCCATCGTTTTTTTTCTTCTTCTCATAAATTATCTGGCTTTGCAGAGAGAAAGAGCCAAAAAAAAAAAAAAGAATAATTGTGAAAGGTAATTTTTCTCTTTTTTTTTTTATTTTAGTTTTTATTTTCCTTTTCTTCGCTTTTTTTTTTTTCATTTTTTTTCTGATCCTTTCATTTCATACAAGTTTTTATGGAAAGTTTTGCAGCTATGCCCTTGAAGCTCACCAAAATATTGAAGATTACCTAATTACTTTCTAATTGAACCATTGGTTTGCCTTTCATGGTAAGGATGAATGGATGGTATCGGCTAGATTTAAACTGATTTGGTCTGAACTTAATTTTTATATTATTTTAATCAAATTTTACTAGTTTGATATAATTTGTTAATTTTTAAACTTATTTTGTTTGTTTTTATATATTATTTTAATAAATTTAAATATAAAATAATTATTTTTATTTTATAAAAATTTAATAAATATATATAAATTAATAAAAATATATAATTCGATTTGATTTATATTTATATTTTTAATTTTTAATTTAAAATTTAATTTAAATCTAATTTATATATTTAATATATAAATTTAATCTAAATTACAAAAAAATATTGATTCAAATTAAATTAAATATTATAATTTTAATTTAATTTTTGATTTTTAAAATTTTTTTCTCACCTATCTGGTGCTTTATGATAGTGTCACGAACTTCAATCTTAAATCTTGCAATCATGCAATCTTAAGCAAAAAATTATTATTTATGTATACTTAAGTTAGCTTTTAATCAAATTGAGTGAGTGTGTCACTCACCGCACTTAAACATACGTGAACGATAATTTCTCGTCTAAGGTTCGAGACCGAAACCTGTCACAATAGCTTCTTGTTGGCATGAATTTAATTGCTTTATAGTTTTTTTTTTTTTTTAAGATTTTACTAATTAGTGCTTTAATGAAGCTTTTTTATATTGTTATTAAATAATTTTTTAATGTATTAAAATTATCACATCAAACATCAATTGTCGTATTTAAGATTATTTAGTCTTAAATTTAGTGACTTTTATCTCTTTCCATTCTTACAAGTAATGCAGCAAAATAAGAAATTGTAAATAGAATTTCCAACGTGGAAATAGCTATCCAAAATGGATAAGAATAAAAATATTAAAATAATAATAGAAAAAACATTAAAAATTCATTGTTGACAATAAAATTTTGCAATCATTGAAGTAGGTCCCTTGCTTGCACCAGAATCCCATTAATTTGTTTTTTATTTTTGTTTTTTATCATAAAAAATCTCAATTCAAATAATAAAATTATAAATGTTGAATTAATTAATTAAAAAAATAATAAAGTAAAATAATTCGTAGAATAATTTTATTAATAGAAAACAATAGTTGATCATAAATTGAATCCTAGGAGATAAAAATTTTAAAAAATTACAATCTAAAAATAGAAAATTTAAATAGCCAAGGCGGCCCCAATGACTAAACCAGCGCTTAGAACGAACCCGACTTGGTAACCGGATCTTGAACCCGACTCATCATTAACTGCGGGACCCGTCGGACTCTCCGGCGACGAACCCACCGGTGTGGGACTTGGTGGGCTACTGCTCGACGGGAAAATCTCAGGACTCTCCGCTGGCGTCGCTGAACTCGAAGGAATATTAGCAGAAGACTCAGGAGTTCCAACCGGACCCTCCGCAACAGATGGAGCCCCACCTGGAGTCAATGTTGGAGGAGAACTTGCGGGTGCCAATGACGGAGGAGAACTTGCGGGTGTCAAAGACGGAGGAGAACTTGCCGGTGTCAACGACGGTGGTGTAGCCATTGGTGAAGGAGTCGCTGGGGATTGAACCGGGGGAGTGGAAGAAGCAGGCGGAGTCGCAGCCGGGGATTGAACCGGTGTGGGAGTAGCAGTCGGAGTTGCTGCCGGAGAGGGCGATGTTGTCGATGGGGAACTTGCAGGAGTCGCCGATGGAGGCGATGATGAAGGAGAGTTCGAAGGCGACGCCATAGGAGGGGTTGAAGAAGTCGTCGGAGGTCTCGCCGTTGTAGCCGTTGGGGAAGGTTTTGGAGATGGGGAAGGTGCATTGTCGGCTTGTACTGCCTTTCCAGAAAAAGAAACGAAGAGAACAAAAATTGAAAGTACAATGAATCTATGCATCTTTGCTTTGATCCTTCTTTTCTTGATGATCTTTCTTCTTTTGATTGAAATGGAAAAAGGAAGAGATTTATATATATAAATGGGAAAGTTTATTGGAAATGGAAACTAAACGTTCTGATTTTTAAAATAATTGATTGAAGGAAAATTTGACCGTTGGGATGGTGGGGTTATTAGGCAACCGGTTATAGTGGGAAATATAGCCGTTACTTGGCAGGACAAAACTGGCCGGGGCCTAGTCTAAATGAGAAGTGAGGTTTTTTTGGCATTGCCAATGGTGGATTTTCAAACAAGTCATTAGACATTCGATAGGATCACACACGACGTGGATATGATATAAAAAAATAATAAAAATGATATAATTTAAAATTTTAATAATTATTATATATAAATTTAATAAAATCAAAAATATATTTAATATTTTTTTATCAATACGAATTATAATACGTAATTTTTATATAAAATATAATATAAATTTATAAATTTTAATATTTTATATGATACGAATATACAAATTGTAGTGGATGTATTCAATCCAATCCAACTCTTTCTTGGGCTCATCATTGTTTTTATGCACCAGTGTTCTGTCTAGTTTCAGGATATTAGGACTTGGGTTCAAACATTCAGCTAATGTTAGCTGAACTCTGCAATTGAAATAACCTGCTCAGTCAGCTTAAAGAACGCAAAGACATACAATTTGTTGTGTGCATTTTGATGTTTCTACAACAAGGGTGATATGGCATTGTTAAGTATCCCATGCTTCTGTGTACATGGGGCAATAGGATTGTTATGTATTCTATGTATTTGATTCTTTATTCAATTATTTTCTTCATTTTATCTTAAAGACGCATCTTTTGTACTAGTTTTGATATTAACACCAGAATTCAACAAGGCCAATATCAAGCAGGAGCATGAGAAAAATTCAGCAATTAATGAACACGAACATGGTGTCTTGTATAGGGTCGAATGGATCGAGCATATCAAACAATTTTCAAGCCCGTTATTGCACACTGGATCTGGAAACCAACTCAGCAATCAATGACTCTTCAGATCAAATGGGCCACCTTTCCATGACAGCACAATGAAGGTGCTGTCTGTTCACGTGCAGCCCTGGATCCAAATAGGGACCTGAAGGGGTGGTTTGGATCACAGCCATGCAGTGAAAATTACCATGAACAAAGCACACCTCAGTGATGAAGTAAGCAGGATTTGCATTACAGAGGAAAATGAAAAACTGTTTTCTATTATTGAAAATACTTGGTTTCCAGAAAGGAAAATTCCTACAGATTATGTTAATGGTGTACATATCAAGCTGCAATCCTGCAGCACAGATGGGTAGCTCCAGCTCCTCTAGTATTTGATAACTGCTATTTTGCTCACCCAAAAGTTAAAAAGCAGCTAAACAATAAATTACAAGCTAACCTTCTAAGTAACAGCTAAAAGGTACATATTGGCACGAGATGATAAATAACTACACGTTTCCCATGGAGTTATTTTCCATCTTGTAGGTCAGGCTTCAACCTCCTGACCAGCAGAATGGGTTTCATCTTTCTCAGTATTGGCTTCTCCATCTTCATCATCTGCTTCATCAGCTAGTTTGGTAAGCTCTTCCTGAATCATGAGCTTTATAGATGACTTTCTTGGGGTGAGGTCGGTATCATATCGTTGAGCTGAAAGGTAGCAAACTTTCCATTAGGACATGCATATAAGAAAATTCTATAGCCTCACAATGAAGCCCTCACCCCCAAACAAGCATTTCATATTCCGAATCAAAGTGAACCTCAAATTTTACAAAGAAATTCAGAAGGAAAACCATTCAAAACGATGGCTTTCATTATTGCTTTTTGTAATTCACTGTTGGGCACTAGATGTGTTACTATATTACTTTGTTAGAAGAGCCAAACAAACAAAAGTTGAAAAATTCATAAGTTCAGTCAGGAATGCAACATATTTAAGTTGTTACTACTAAGTAGTACCACTTATCTTCAGAATTTCAAATAAGTGAAACAAATAATTTGTTGGTGCGAATAAAAAAGTGAAAGATGCATACCAAGTTTTTTCAGAATGTCTGTGAATGTCGCCTGCAGAACAAAACAATACTAGTTATGTCAACAAGAATATTAGAGCCAGTATCTACAAGGAAATGAAAACATAAGATTAAGATTTTCAAATTCCCTTAAGCACAATAGAAATGCACAGATCTAGATAGAACTTAAAAACAATTGAGATCCTTATGTCTTACCTGCGATCAAATTGACCAACAAGGATTAATAATATTGTGTTTCAGAAAATTGAGTACCAAAAGCAATTTATTTGTTATATTCGTTCCCAAAACCACAAGACGATGAAAAACCTTTAGCCTATTTCCACACTGGCAATCTGAAGCAGATAGGCAGTATGTGCCAACCTAACTGCATTTCAATGTTTTGCCAAAATTTTCAAGCGCTAATTCTTAAGTAAAATGATTCAAAATAGAACATCACTAGCAGCATTGCCCTCAATGAAACAGCTAAGAATGTTTGGATTCATGGTTACATAATCAAACCAAATTAGTAACGATTCTCAGAGGATGTCTTAACTTTCCAATCAATGGAGGTGCTGGATATTACAATAATTATCATGGTAGCCTATTTAGCACTGAACCAAAAGTCCTGACTCCTGATAGCCTGACTTTCTAATTAACAATTACAATAGGCTTTGGAGTCAGGACCAGACCAAAGATGCTGTTACAAAAAGTCTAGTAACTGATGCAGCCATTGTAGGTAGTATATTTATAGCAGATCTTACCGTATTGAAGTCCACCTCCTTAAGAATCTCACAAATTGCAGTTCTTAGTTCATAATCACTTGGCTCAAATTTCTCCTCTTTAGCTTTGTCCTTCCCCCTTGCAACATTTTTGCCTTAATAAATACAGCAAAAGATAGCACCATAAAAACTTATAACCAAAAGCTTATCTTACAAATTTTGCCACAAGAAACAACCATTTTTCTATTTCCTCGACAAAAAGAACAGACAAGAAAATGAAACAGAAAGAAGGCCACTATCTTACTGCTTTTCTCCTTGAAGCCAAATTTCGTTGGTTTAGAGGACTTTTCCTTTGTGACCTTCTCTGTTTTCTTCCTTGAAGACACCTTTGGACTTTTATCACTATCCTCATCAGCCTTTGAGCTTTTAGATGATGGTTTTGGAGTTCTTTTCTGTGGTGTAATAGACCTTTTAGTAACGGTGACTTTCTTGGTTTTAGCTTTTACAGAAGATTCCTTCTTTGTGGATGATACCTTAGTACTCTTTTTCTTCTTCCCTACATCTTCTTCAGATTCATCTTCAGATTCATTTTTCTCCTCACTTTCAGAATCCTCGGGCATCTCATCCTCAGATTTTTCTGTAATGCCATTTTCAGTTTCCTCCTCTTCATTCTCTTCCTCTTCCTTTTCTTCTTCTTCTTCTTCAGACTCATCCTCAGAATCAAGTGTACGCTTTTTCCCTGATTTTGGAGTATCACCACTCCTTCTTCGACTCTGCATAATACATCAAAAAAGGGAAAAAAAAACACACACACACAAGAAAATAACTATGAACATAAATGTAAAATGAAGAACGTAAAATCATATAATAATTACTTCCAAGTCTCTAACCTAAGAACTATATAAAATAGTAAGGTCTCATATAGCCGTACAAGTTATTTACACATAGGAGACCTGATTGAGTAGAAAACTAATAATTCCTTAAACATGGTAAAAACAAGTGACGTGCCTAACAAAAAGCTGCAATGGTTAATGAAATGACATTTCCGCTATCATCATGGAGAAACTAATACCTTTATTGACCGCTTTGACGTGGTCCCAGACTTGGTAACCCTTTTGCGCTTTTTACTATTACTGGACTGGATAAAGAATAGAAATTATGGGTTAGAAAGAAAGCATGTAAAAGTTGAACTTTACCAAAAACTGCAGTTAAAATTAGAAACCTTATCTTTTTCAGCAAGTAGAACAGTAGTTGTAGCATGAGGGGCCTCCAAAAAGTCTATCAGCTTTGCAATGATATCTTCCTGCATGTCCATTTTAAGCTTATTAACAACCAATAGAGAAATTCAACTTCTTTAGTATCAAAATTATTATTAGTTCAGGCTTGTTGAAGTAGTATTAACAAGCCCTCATATAAATGACACTGGACTTGAGTGGTGATACTGATTTTTATAGTACTAATTACGACACGTCTATCAAAGCTTTTGAAACTACAAAACTCACCCTAGCCTTCTATTGAAGTACAATCCTAGTAGCAGGATCTAATTCACTATAACTGTTGAATTCATAGATAGGAAAAGGGATTAAAAAACCTCAGTATTTTCCAGACTAATATAAAAACTAATCACATAAATGACAGTTTCTAAGCTGAAAACAACAAAATTTGACTTTCTAGAGAAGAAAAATTTTAAAAAAAAAAAAGGAAAAGATTACCATAGATATGCATGTTTACATAGATACATACTTGCCTACCCACCATTTTACTGCATTCTATGTGAGAAAGAGTACCCCATTGACAAGACTATATTGGTGTGCATACACACGTAGGGTTTTTATTGATCAATTTGCATCAATGTTGAAAAACTATCACTAAGAAAATGTTATTCATGAATCAAAGCAATGGAACGGCCATCATTTCCTTGACATATAGACAGAATAAAAGCACAAATTACAGTAGCAAGCAACAAACCTTCCTCGTAGTAGCCTTCATAATTGGTATGTCAAGCACATCACAAAACTCCATCAACTTCTCTTTATTACACTTGTCAAACTTTTCTCTTACTTTATTTTTTTGCTTTTCCTGTATCACAACATTTGAATGTCATAAACCAGAGAAAAATCTACTATAGTGCATTAATATCAACAAAAACAAGTTAACCATACAGCCAGCATAAACTAGCAAATAAACTACAAACACCTAAAAGGTTAAAACACAAAAGTTCAATTCCTAAAGAAAAATAAGTTATTAATTAACTTTATAATCCCCTTACCTCATTTTCATGCCACACAAACCCAGAAAACCGGGATATATTGCTCTTGATCTGAACTGCCTGCAAGAATAAGGAATATGAGTCTCATAAACTGAAAGCAAACTCAGCAAAGTACTTCTACGGCAAGCCAGTACCATCCAAGCATAGTTTCTTTGCAAAAATGCATGCCCATACTCATGCACACATGTATCACTACAAAGTATATTTATGCGCGCTTGTAAGTTTGATACGCCCTTACCATCAAATAAGAGAATGAAGCAAGAAATGGAAAATCCTGGTTATAAACAAACAAAAACTTAGACAGGCCAATCAAATTACCTTCCCTCTCCTTCCAAAGAGAATAGTATGAAGCAGTCTGAAAGTGTCATCAGTCTTCCTTCTAGACAACTTGAATGCCACTATATAAGATGACATGGCAGATGTCATTTTACTTAAAGACATAGTTCTACACAAATATCAAACACCTCAAACATATTTAGTTTTAAAAGAAAAGGAGTTCTAATATAAATTCAAGGATCTTGCAGAAATAATTAGTGTAAAGACACAAGCAAAATTAAACTAAATAAACAGCATCCTGAGTTTCATTGGATGTACTATGTTTTGATGACAACGCAAAGTGTATGAACTCAATGATGAACAAAAATAGGAGAAATGAACTGTTAAGATTTACAACTACAGCATCAAACAAGCCCATTGTAGGATATTGTCTGCAAAACAAGTGCAGGACATTAAAAAAATAATTTGAGTGATATAAGAAGGAAATAGAACACACCATTAGGAATATCTTTAAGCGGAGTACCACGGCCCTGCAATTGCCAAAGCAACCTATTACTTCCTATAGACCTTCAAAATACAGAATTCAAACATCTAAATCATTAAAAACAATGATAGCCAAGGAAGAAAGGAAAAGAAACCTTTTCAACTTGGAATTCCCTATTAGCATCTTTGTCAATAGATGCAACCAGCCTTTCAACAGATTTACGCTCGCGCACAGGGCGATCTGTAAGAGGAGTTCTTTGCTCCGGCTCCTTCACCTCCACCTTTTTTGTCTTCCCTTTAACCTTCTCCCCAGTGTTTTGAACTTTCCCACGCTTCTTTGAACCTTTTTCCTCCTTGCTCTCTTCAGCCGTCTCTCCGTCTTCCTTTTCTTTTTTCAGCCCATCTACTTTCTCCTCCACCTTATCTTTGTTTTCCACCTTTTCAACTTTCTTGTCATCTTCTTTTGCCTCTGTTTCCTCATCCATTGCTTCAGTTTCAGCATCCTCCTTTTCTTCTTTTTTCGGTTCTTCTTTGCTTTCCTTGTCTTCCTTGACCTGTTGATCTTCATCCATCTTCTCAGTCTCAACTTTCTCATTATCCTTCTTATCTTCTTCCAATTCCTTTACCCCATTATTTTCTTCCTCCGTTTCCTCAGCTACAGCTTCACCAGATTTCTCCAGAAGAGAAGTCCCATTAGCCACTGGCTCAGGGACTTCAGTCTTTGTTTCTTCTTCACCCATAATCCAATTCAAAATATATGCTTTACACGGCAACACTTCTTTCCCTTGCCTTCCAAAGTTGTAGGATGGAATGACAAAGAAGACTGCAGAAACCAAATAAAATATTTATAATAATAATAAATAATTAAAACAACAGTTAATTCCACTCAAGACAAAAGAACCATGTAAATAGTGAATTTTCCGATGCAATCTTTTCGCATAACAAAAGAAACTTCTTTTCCACACACAATACAATTCTCCTAAGCTTCACAAGAAATGCAATGAGCAAACAACTGTAACCAAGAAAACAGTTACACTCTCCATATAAGAAAAGAAAACTACAAGGAACATTCAACTTAAGGGAAAAGAAAAAATCCTCTTGTAGAAATAAGCTACAGCGAATCAAACAGAATTGAAGCAATCAAAACCTTATAATACAAAAAAAAAAAAAAGTAAAGCATTTCCGGACTAGAATTCCATTATTAGAGATCCACATGAGTTTGAACATATTCAAAAACAAAGAAAACACCAAACTTGACTCATAAAAACTAAATATTCAAAATATATAACAAAACCCTCCGTTTGGTTCCAAAGAACAATAACGACACTTTAAATCTCACGAAAAAATTGTTTCTCTACCAATATAAATCATAAATCCCAGTTTAACAAAGCTAAAATCAGAGTCTGTTAAGCTTAATTTTATGAAAATTTCAATTTGGACACAAAAAAAATCCCAAATCTGAAAATTGAAAACTAAACTTCATTTCCCACATTTTCCCACAAAAACCCATTAAAAAAACCAAAAAATTTACAATTTTCAATACATTGACATCCAAAAACCTAACTTTCTAGCAAACCAAAAAATAAAAATAAAAAAAATCCAAAAAATTACAAAATTGAGGACTAATTACCCAATATCATCTTAAAAATCGAAAAAACGAGAAAACTTACAGTGATTTACAAGCTCTCCATTACCATCCAAAAGCTTCAGACAGAGAGAGCAGAGTCTTTAAAGTGAGGATTTTTAAATTTTTTAATTTTGGGGAACAAATCAGCCTCAATTTTTTCAGAGTACCGGACTTGAAACCCGGATTTTAAATGCAGTTAAGTTAACTGCCACGTCGGAAGGGAGCATGTCAGAAATAGGGGGGCGAAATTCGAGATGGGATACAATGGACGACTTTGATCTTGTTTAGGTCTCGTCTATGTAAATCCAGGGGTTGAGATTTTGTTTCCGAGGTATCTTGGAAGTTGAGGGCCCACACTACAGGGGTTGTGGGTGGGGCCTATGCTGTGAGGATATTTATGAGCTGATTAATGAGTAATTTTTTAGATTAAAATATATTTTATAATAAAATATTATATTTATATTATATATTATAGTGTATGTAAATATGAAAATATAAAATATAATTTTTTAATTTTATTAAATTTATTTATAATTTTTTAAAAATTTTAAGTTATATTATTTTCATATATTCTATTTATATCGTATTTAAGATTAATAATTTAATTTGTTCTCGATGAATTTCAATCGAATCTAATTTTATAAAATTGATTTTTTTTAAAGCAGATTTTTTGTCGAGTTGAGCAATGATAGAAAAAAGTCGAGGTCGGGTCAAGAACGAATTTTAGACAAACTCAACATGATATATATATAATTATTTTTTATTTTTTAGTTATATATTTATTTAATTTTATATTTATATTAAAATTATATTTTATAATAAAAATTTTTTATATATTTTAAAAAATAATATTTTATTAATTTCAGGTCAAATAAGATTAGATACAATTTATATAATATCAGATTGTGTTAGATTCGAGTGTAAAAAAAATAAAAAAATTTTTAGGTCTGGTCGAATTCAAATTTTTTTAATATGAAGTTAGGTTGGTTCAAAGCTTGCTAAAATTCACTTCGACCCTGCCCATTGTCAGCCTTGATCATGTTATTGTGTCGTATTTTAAATTATTAAATCTATTTAAAAGTTTTTCAAAATTTTTTATAATTTTTTTGGTTTGTTTAATTTAATAAATCGGAGAATATTACAAACAAATATTAATATTTTTCTTCAAAAGGTATTTTATTTTTATTAAAATTGTTATTAAGAAATTTATATTTTTTATTTTACTATTTTATAAATTTTTTGAAAATTACATTTATAATAAAGTTGATTGATTATAAATCAAATATTTTATTTTAAATTTAATTTTTCATATTTATAAATTTTTTTAATAAATATTTTATAAATTTAATATAAATTTTTGAGACATACAATATGCACCAACCTTAAATAAATTAATCTTCCCTTATCTAAAGTTTTTTAAAAATAAAAGCAAAATATCTATTAACCATTGCATTAGTTAATGAAAATAATTAATAATTAAAACTTGCTAGTGTCACGGACTTAAGGAAGAGTCTTGAATCCCACATAGAGCATAATAGGAGGGTCACTAGGGTATAAAAGGGTTCACACCACCTCCGCCTTGTGAGGCGCCTTTTGAAAGATAAAACCGTGAGGCCAAGGGAGGCCAGAGCGGACAATACCTCACAAGGGTGTGAACCGTGGCGGTCAGGCTGATCCGAGATGCCGGAAGGGTGAATGCTCGAGTCCCGGAGCCGCGCGGGTTCGGAGCTTAAGTCTCGACCTGTGACAAGTGGTATCAGAGCCAGCCCTAAACCGTTCGATCCACGCCAAGCACCTCGAGGGAGGTAGGCAGGGTGGCTAGCCTCCGTGACGAAGGCGTCACGAGGTTGGGTGCGGGAGAATGTCACGGACCTAAGGAAGAGTCCTGAATCCCACATCGAACATAATAGGAGGGTCACTGGGGTATAAAAGGGTTCACACCACCTCCGTCTTGTCACGGGTTGAGACTTCAGCTTCACTTGTCACGGGTCGAGACTTAAGCTCCGAACCCGCGCGGCTCCGGGACTCGGGCATTCACCCTTCCGACGTCTTGGATCAGCCTGACCGCCACGGTTCACACCATTGTGAGGTATTATCCTCTCTGGCCCCCCTTGGCCTCACGGTTTTATCCTTCAAAAGACGTCTCACAAGGCGGAGATGGTGTGAACCCTTTTATACCCTAGTGACCCTCCTATTATGTTCGATGTGGGATTCAGGACTCTTCCTTAGGTCCGTGACATTCTCCCGCACCCAACCTCGTGACGCCCTCATCACGGAGGCTAGCCACCCTGCCTACCTCCCTCGAGGTGCTTGGCGTGGATCGAACGGTTTAGGGCTGGCTCTGATACCACTTGTCACGGGTCGAGACTTAAGCTCCGAACCCGCGCGGCTCTGGGACCCGGGCATTCACCCTTCCGACATCCCGAATCAGCCTGACCACCACGGTTCACACCCTTGTGAGGTATTGTCCGCTCTAGCCCCTCTGACCTCACGGTTTTATCCTTCAAAAGGCGCCTCACAAGGCGGAGGTGGTGTGAACCCTTTTATACCCCAATGACCCTCCTATTATGTTCGATGTGGGATTCAGGACTCTTCTTTAGGTCCGTGACATTCTCCCGCACCTAACCTCGTGACGCCCTCGTCACGGAGGCTAGTCACCATGCCTACCTCCCTCGAGGTGCTTGGCGTGGATCAAACGGTTTAGGATTGGCTCTGATATCACTTGTCACGGGTCGAGACTTAAGCTCCGAACCCGCGCGACTCCGGGACCCGAGCATTCACCCTTCCGGCGTCTCGGATCAGCCTAACCGTCACGGTTCACACCCTTGTGAGGTATTATCCGCTCTGGCCCCCCTTGGCCTTACAGTTTTATCTTTCAAAAGATGACTCACAAGATGAAGGTAGTGTGAACCCTTTTATACTCCAATGACCCTCCTATTATGTTCGATGTAAGATTCATGATTTTTTTTTAGATATGTGACACTAAACCCATGCTATCCTCAAAAAAATAAAATAAATAAAAGGTGGGGCCTGATCATTTTCTAGGCCTTCTTTTTTTAGCCATCAGGATAGGATAGGATTCAGGCTTTTGCTCCATTAGGAGCATTTAGGCTACTTTTTTTATTAATTAAATTTCATAATTTAAAATATAATAAAATAATATAAATATAAATTTAATTTAATTTAAAATTTTAACAAAAATTATATATAAATTTAATAAAATTAAATATTACTTTATATTTTTATGTTTACATAAATTATACCACATAATATTTATATAAAATATAATATAAATATATAAATTATTAATATTTTATAAAACATAAATACCTAAATTATCATATATATATATATATATATATATAAAAAAAAAACTCCAGCAGCAATTATTCCCATGCAGTACAAAAGTCAAAATGTTGATACCTTTTTATATAACTTGTGTCAAAAAGATTACACATGCTCCAAAAAAGCATTAAACTTCATCATGAAAAGCCAAATTTATAGAAAAAAAAAAGTGGGAAATTAAATTAAGTTCATGATATTTGAGCATAACAAAAATAAACAAAACTATTAAATTCCTAAGCTAAATCCTAGCTCTTTAACATCAAATTGTTGAACTCAAAGTTTGGGCTGTTCTGGTTTCAAGCTTCAATTTCAAACCTTGGACATTTGATGGATCCCATTGAAATGTCAATTTCAATTAGATTTTCTTCTTCATTTACCTCATTGTTCATTTCTGCCAATAGCTCAACAAGGTCTTGTTGCTTGAAAGTAGATTCTGGCAAGAAAGTTGGCAGATTGGATTGCAGATTTTGTTTTGGTTCTTCACTCAAACCAATGGAGTTAATGTTGCTTGGAATGGCAATTTCAATGAGGCCTTCTTCATCATCTTCTGAGGTTGAATAATCTGAGATTTCAGGATTTTGTTCTACATTACCTGAAACCATCCAATTTAACTCACGGTTTTCACTTGAGCCTGAATCATCACTGCTTTGATCACTTTCAGATATCAAATCTAGTGATTCATCAACTTGAAACTCATGCACAATGCCAATATCAGCTTCTTGGGCAGCATCAGATTCTGGATCAGTTTCCACTAACACTGGCTGTAGCTGTAGTACTTTCTCTTCAACTTCATCCTCAAGCTTCAGCTTCCTGGAATCTGGATTCTCTACTAAAACCACCTTTCTCTTCTTTGTTAATTTGACCAGGAAACTTGTTGATAAAATCAAGATTGGAATTGTAAAAAGGATAGGATGGAAGAACCCCAAACCAAGGAAACTAGTCAAAACAATGGAAGGAACAAGGAGTGCAACACAAAGTAAATATGGTTTGAAGAGATAAAATGGAGAAGGGATTTGATTCTCAGTTGTTTCAACCATGTTTGAGGATAGGAAAGAATATGGCATCAAAGGTTACAGAAACAAATGAACCAGACTTATGCTACAAGGAGTTGCTATGTTTCTGACAATGACCAATGACAAAGAGCAAAAGCACACCTTTTATGACTTTGGGTGCTTTAGTCTCTCTTCTGATGATTATGAGTAAGAATCAAAAGTGGAAAAACCTGACCTGAGCTGCCAAGAAATGATGGAGTTGGCTACAAATGAGCTTCTTCCAAGACCTTGCTTGAACTGATCAATCAATAGCCTCTCTTTCCCTCTTACACCACCAGCATTACTTGAAAAACAACAATAAACTGATTAGCCATCTGTATTCCATAAAAAAACCCAAGTGTTTTGTTCTTATCTGAAACTGATTCTCTTGAAAAAAAAGTAAAAACTATAGTTTCTCTTTTCCATTAACCTCTAAAAGCTCTGGAATTGCCAAGTCCGTGTGCAACATAGTGGATTCACCACATGGCACTAAAAAATCTCAATAACATGAAATTGAAAGGTAAAAATATTCTACTATGTGCTAGAAAAGTAGGAAGGTGCTCTTTCCCTTTCACTCTTTTTCGTTTTCAATTTTGTCATGAAAAAGTTCCCTTTTACTTCCTTTACTGTCCTTGCTTTGCAAGCAAAGAAGACCAATTCAGATGCCCACAGAGGCAAAGAATAGTGTTAACTTGATTACTTGAGTGACTCAACATGGGAACCAAAAATCAAGTTTTGTAAGCAAATTTGTCAGGTAGCCAATAATCAAAATCAACAGTAACCAGTCATCATGGCACATTTTTCACCCATTTTCTTTTGTCTGCAATAAAAACCCACCAAGATGCAATGATGTTAGTCCATTTTTATGCTCTCCAAAGACTTAATGGAAGCCCATTGCATTGAAGAGATCCATTTTTTTTTTGGCTGGTAATGCCAGGTACCCCCATTACTCATTTGTTCTGACAGACAACATCCACAGCTAGCATTGGCTGAAGGACCAGGTACACAGAACTTAATGCATATGGACAGTGGAGACAGAACTTTTCCTTTGATTAAAACCTCAACTAAATCCAAATCAATATTCTACCTACTGAAGATAATGAAGATATGTGCTCAACATGATACAATTAAAATTTGTCGTCATTTCTGGTTTAGAAATTGAGTATTATTAGGGGCGCGATGATTTAAGGTTCGAATCCTCTCTTTCCCTTCTAAACTTACTCAAAATAAACCGAAAGTGATTGTCTCAAATGGATTATGTAATGTTAAATTGCACAATTCCCTCAATAATTTCATAATCAAACTTAGAAAATCTCACCTGATCATGTAGTGCATTGCCTATTGAAATCAAACAAAATTTAACCAGCTAGCTCATTAGTTAATTGGGTACATGTGACATGTCATATGAATGATTGGGTTTTGGGCAAAGTTACTCTCTAAGGCAAACAGAAGTCAACAAAGTGAGAAACAATGTCCTTTTTTTTCTTTCTTTCTTTCTTTATGGCTCTGCATGGTTGATTGCCTTTACACCTAATCAACCACTCGTGAATTTGAAGTAATCAACCATTTAGCAGGGATGATAATGATTTAAATTAAATCGGATTTGATTTGATTTTTTTATTAATATATAATATTATAAATTTTTAAAATTTAATCTGAATTTAAATCGATTATTTTTTTAAATTAATTCGATTTGATTAAATTTTATCAATTTAGTTTAATTTGATTTATTGATTTTATAATTTTAATTTTTTATATATTATTTTAATAACATTTTTAATATATTTAAATAAATTTATATATATAATAATTATTTTTATTTTATAAAAATTTTAAAAAATATAAAACTAATAAAAATATATAATTTAATTTAGTTTCATTTTTTTTATTTTTCATATTTTTGATTTAAAATTTAATCTAAATTTAATACACATATTTAATATTCTAACCAAACTAAATTAAATTGAATATTATAATTTTTAATTTTTTAATTTTTTTTTAACCCTACCATACAGACTTCAGGTTAGACTGATTTGCAATACCCCAGAAAAAGAAACGGAATATTTGGGTTTCAAGATAAGGGCAGTCAAAGTGTCCTAAAGAAGGTCAAAATGGCAAAAGGCAAGGGCCAGGCATCTTCTTGGCTGGCAATGGCATCACCATTCACCAATGACATGGGTTCTTGTGTTTTTGACGCAAAGGATTGTAGTCTGTCAATGCTTGATCTTAGTATAGCAAGTGCTAAGTACTTTTGTCACTGTCTTGAAAAAAAATTGGCAAGAAATAAGAAGAGATACCGATTTTTTTTTTACTCAGTTCATCATAGATATGAATTCGAAAAATTTATTTATCGGATTCTGATAAAATACAAATAAAATTTTTAATCGTAAACACTTATGATCAATGAAAATATAATGGTTTTTTTTAAAAAATTTTTTGCCAAAAGACACTATTATGTTTAATGGTATATGTTACAATATTAAAATAAAAATATTTTTATTCTCATTCTTCCCTATCGATCCAACAAAAGTCAATCAAACGGTGTCAATTGAGCCATGTGTCTCACAAACCTTGTCTCTTTAGATTTTAAATCACTACCGTACATAATGTATACCATGGAATAACATATTTTGACTAAGAAAAATTCTAAAATTACTTTTTTAAAAAATAGAAAAGTAAAGAACCCTATTTGACAAAACACCCCAAACCAGGGGTAGCATGGAGAATTCATTACTCAGGCATGAGAATTTGTGAAAAAGGAAAGAAAATTTTAATAGCAGAGCCCAAACCTTTTTTAGGGTTAGGGTTTTTAATTTCTTTGTACAACTCTCCAAAATTTCTTAAAAAAAAAAAAAGAAAAAGGAAAAATAATAATAAAAAATAAAGTTTCATATTTGAAGATTCTTGTTTGGCATCTATATATTGGAAAGCTTTCTCCTTTGTATCTTGTCTTGGGATTTGTGCTGCTGATTTTTGTTGATCTCTCTTTCTGTCTCTCTGGGCTTTGCTGCCCTTTTGCCATTGAAATCCATGATCTTCAGCACCCCATGGACCCATCTCCCGTGCACACCACTCCTTCACTCCATGAAGAAGAAGATGAGTGGGGTATATTAACTCTCTCTCTGTCTCCCTGTAACTTGCTTTGTTTGTTTCCTGGGAAAATTTTGCTAAATCAGTACAAGTTTGGGTCTTTGTGCTAAAAATAAAAATTTTAGATGTGGGTTTTATTTATATCAAATTTGTAGATATGGGTTTTTTTAGATTGTAGTGATATATGTGAGAGAATTGTCATTGGAGAATTGTTTTGTGAGCATGATTAACTATGACTAGGGGCTATATTTGGTATTTATAATTATCTGTTTTAATTCTCTTTGTATGTTGATTTTGTTTTTGATTGGTGGGCATGCTCTACTGTTTAGTCTGGTATAATGTTTAATTGGTTGAGTTGATATATTGATCCACATTGAATTGAGGGTTATGCAGTTTAATCCTTCATTAGCATGCTATAAAAGTAACTTGTGTTGTTCTTTATTGCTTTAGTTGATATCTGGTTGCCCGCTGCCTTTGTATTGAAGTGATGATCTTATGCAGAAGGTCATTTGTTTTGCTAATTAAGAAGCATTTGAAGGTTGCAGTAAACTAAAATTGAAGTTCCTGAAGTTTTACTTTCAGTAGGATATGAGCTTGAGGCTGAGAAGTTGGAGAATTGATAACATGTATCTCCTGGATTAACTGAGAAACCAGCAACAGAAAGCTTGTTTATATCTCTAGCGGTTTACCTTGCATCAATCTAATTTGAGATTGTTTGTGCCCCTTTTTGAGTTTCATTTCTACTACTTTCTTTTTATGCTTTTGTTTTTGGTAGATGTAAGTCATATGAATATCTAAAAGTTCTGAGTTCTAACTTCTAAAAATTTGTTCCTTAGTTGTTCTTTTATTGCTATTATGTGTCTTGAACTAACTGGTTTCAGAGAAGATGATGGTAAACACATGCATTTACGTTTCCTCCTCACTTTCTAGTTTGGAATTGCTTCAAGTTCATAATCCAGTTCCTGCATCTTGCTTCTGTATATGCTGCTGATTTTATGTGGCTTATGCTAGTTTGTTGTTTTGATTTTCCCATGAAACCATTTCCCTTCTTTTGGTGTACTATGAAATTAATTCAATTCCATCATCATTAAGTGGTTAATTCCTTCGTTTTGTGTTTTGTCAAATTTGGCACGTCTACAATGAAATGAAATGTTCAGTGAATTCCTTTTTCACAATGAACAAAATACCACTATATCTTGGAACATTATTTAAAGATGGCTGTGCTAAGTGGCCTCTTATAATTTGTAAAGTGGTAGTTCCTAGGGTTAGTGAGAGATTTCTCTCACGTTGTCGCTAGTCCTGCTGCTCCTTATCAGTAGAGAGGGAGAGAGTTTTGTACTCCTTCCTGTCTAAAATTAATAGATTCATTTGCTATTTAGCAGTAGTTTGCTTCATTGAAATCTTATAAAAGTACCTCTTTCAGCGTGCTGAATTGTTGCTTAATTATAACAATTCCTTCTGTTTGGAAATGATTTTCTCATTGAAATTTATTGAGATGTACCTGAGTATTCTTATGTTAATTTTTTTATTTCATGTTTTCCATTAGACACTGATGGATTTGTGATTCCAAGCTTGGGAATTGAAGAATCAGATAAAACTCAGGCTGATGCTTCAGAAGTAGAAACATCAAAATCTCCTTCACAGGTCAAGTACAATATTCATATCTTTAGATTTCGAGATTCATTTTTTTGAAGCTTTTGTCCTATCCTGTTGACAGATACACACTAAGATGTAGAAACATGTTCATGTTTTGGCTTGTGCAGACTAAAAAAGAAGAGAACATATACTTGGGACCACACGGTGCTCCTCCTTCACAATCAAGGCAGCAAGAGCTGAATCTGTCCAGCCGTAAGCAACGGTTTAAACAGAAACTGAAAGAAGCTGATAGAAGGATCAGTGGTACAGGGCGGGAGAATAAGGTGGAAAATTTAAGAGAGCTCGTAGGTGGTGGGAAAGCAAGTCCCAACATGTCCAAGGGTACTCCCAGGGATTGGCTTGATCCTCATTGCGATGAGTCACAATTTGAGAAGTGGTACCCCCAGTGAGTGGAGCTTTCTGCTTTCCTTAGCTTAAGATATTTATGATAAGTGAATTATGATAAGTGTTTTGACAATAATCCATCAGGCAAACCATTTGGTTTCAATTCTAATGCAGAAGATGTTAAAGTTCTTTTACTGCAATTTTCTTCTATTAATGCAGAAGAAATTATGTAAGGTTCCACCACTGCTGTTATACTATTTGCTTCACTACTTAGCCACTTGGGACTAAAAGGGCAGCTCAGAGCGCAATGCGCTCCCGCTATGCGTGCACGGGGAGGGTTTATTGTATGCAATCTTTCCATGCATTTTTGTAAGAAGTTGTTTTCACGACTCAAATCCGTTACTGTCAGGTTACATGGCAGCCTACTTAGCCACTTGGGTCTCGTTGCAAAAAATTCATTGTTTTCAATCGGTTTATGACATTGAGAGGATGAATATGTTGGTCTCATAAAACAATTCAAGCATTCAAACAAGCATAAAGCCTTCCATCTAAGACGATTCTGAAGCACAAAGTAACGATACAGCACTGTGTAAGTGTAAATATTCATTATAAGTTAAAGGGTTCCAAGATTATCACAGCAGTTTCTATGAAACTAATGAATTCCTCTTTTCTTTGGGCAAAAGAATGATTATCAACCTAAGCACTAAGTGTAAAAGCTAAAATTCATAAGCTTCAATGCTAACCAAATGAATCTGCTCGATTCGCCTAATAGTACTATCATTTCGTATGATCATTCCCAAAAATTAAGCTCGATTTGGCTGAGAGGCTTCTGCAACTTCATGACAGAACATGGCTAGATATGCCTTTTGATTCTATGACTAGAGTTCATTTGATGCTCATGAACTCTAATCCGGTTGCCATGGGTGTCAATCCATATTGAGACAAATACTTGGCATCATAAAATTTACTTAGATGCCTCATCCCGCTATCACATATAATAGTTACAATAGTGTGGCCGGGGCCGAGAGCCTTTGCCACTCTAACAGCTCCAACACAGTTCATGGCTGAAGAACTCCCCAGGAAAAGCCCATCATTCTTCAAAAGGAACCTGAAATGTCAAGCAGGCATAATATTACAGCTCAAAGCCAAGCAAACATTGATAGGCAAGACAACTTTACCATAATTTTTATCAGATTCAACATAAATAAGCAGACTCTAAGGAGATATCCTATGTTTTCATACGAGAAGACATAAAAGATGATACACAGACCTCGACATTTCAACAGCTTCCTTGTCTGTGCCTTGAAAAGCCCCATCAAGCTTGGCCATCATAAAATTTTGAGTCAATCTGTTTATTCCAATCCCTTCTGTTATGGTGTCAAAAGGATTCCTAAGCCTTCGTCCTTCAGCTTCCTCTTTTGTGTACATGACTCCCCTTGTTACCTTATTGAACAAACCAGAACCAGGAGGATCTATCAAAAAGCACTTGATTTTGGGACTCTTCTCCTGTCCAACATTTATGAATTAAGTTAGTCCCCTAATTAAAAATATGTACAAAATGGTTGAAAAGAGGTTATAACTTCTACCTGGAGAAACTTGGAAACACCAGCCACAGTACCACCAGTGCCTGCAGCTGCAACAAATGCATCTAGACTGCCACCAGTCTGCTCCCAAATCTCAGGCCCCGTATGCTCATAGTGGGCCCTGAAGTTTGCTAAATTTTCAAATTGATCAGCAAAGAAACCACCATTACAATGACTCAAGAAACCTGGATTTTCCTTCTCCTGGTCAAGTATGCAATCATTCATTCGATCCAGGTCTTTGTCATCAACTTGCCTGGCCTTTTTATTCTTCGCTGCTAATTCATTTGCTTCTAGTGCTCGCCTCCTAGCAATATTGACATAATGGTCTTTGTGTGTAATTGATACTGGTCTAACCCTTTCGACAGTAGCTCCCAGTGCTTCAAGTATTTGAGACTAAGATTTTGGCAAGAAACAAAATAAATTGTAATGAATAGCAAAGATAGACAAATAATCACAGAAAAGTGTTCATATGAATAGGTATAAATTCCTCAAAAACCAGCACCATCCAGTAATATATCCTTTCAATCCATATCGAGACGTCAACAGTAGTTTAAGAATCACATAAAAGTAATTGTTCCAGGAATGTGCTCATCCACAGTACATTTTATACATACCTTCTCAATAGCAACATCATCTGGGATGACTACATGACATTTGCATCCATAGGCAGGAGCCACCGTGGCAAGGCTAATTGCAGTACTTCCAGCACTTCCTTCAGTGACTACTCCACCGGGAGCCAGATCACCTGATTCCAGAGCCTATATTGTGCCAGAAATTGGAAAGTATAACAATCGAAGGCAAACTGGTTAACAAACAGAACAGCCGAAACTAATCATTACAAATACTAAAGAATACTCAAGTTTACTTCTTTTAAGGTACCATAAAATTGTGAAGAACAATAAAAACCAAAAAATTTCAAAAACGTAAAAAAGATACATCTAGTTAAAAGTATCCATGAATATAACACAGGGCTTCAATTCTCACTCTATGGTTAAAAGTGCTATAATTCAAATGCAAGCTTTTAATTTGGAGCATGAATTATCATACAAGATGGAAAGAAAGTCATGATACCAAGTGCATTATAGCTTGAATATCTCTTTGTGTTAATCAAAGATAATGATTCTTATTTCTTTCTTTTCAGTGTATCACAATTTCAGATGCTTTATGCCGAAAGCAAGTCTTTAAGCCATGAACTCTGGCATGTAAAAATGAATTTGAAAATGTATGATTTACCTCCTCAATAATTTTCACAGCAACTCTATCTTTCACACTTCCTCCAGGATTCAGAAACTCACACTTGCCAAGAATCTGAAAACCCAAGTAAGAATAAATTCAAACAGGAGAGGTAATCATTTGCCTACTATATGTAGATGAAAATAGAGAACTTTTATATGAGTATCCAGGAAACCAAGTTTATAAAACATTGATTAATCACAAGCCAGACATGACCCTAATCTCAAAATCATACAAAACAGTAGCTAGAGAAGATCAATGTCATAAATTCAGAGTTTCAGACAGAAAAGCAAGACAAAAAGAGACATAATTGAAGACCCAGATATCAAAATCGGATGAAAACACAAAAAATTGCAAACATAAGAGTTTAATCTGAATTGCAACCAGCAAAGACAACACAAAACAGGAAAAAAGAAATTACGGAGATATCAAAATCAATCAAAACAAGCAGAACCTTTTAAAGAAATAGAAAGAGAGAGATGAAAGTAACCTCACAGCCAGTGGCTTCAGACAGGCTGTTGATACGAATCAAAGGGGTGTTACCAATGGCATCAACAATTCCATTTCCGGGCTTTTTCTTCTTGCCGGAATGAAGGGTCGATGTGATCTTTTTGAAGAAAAGGAAGTACGAGAAAACAGCCATTGAAATGGAGATTGTAGCAGTTGCAACGACAATAGCGCTTGTGGTTCTTACAGGCGCCATTGTGGCGGCTCGATCACCAGACTTCAAACTGAAGAAACATTAAAAACAGACCAGTTGGTTGATGACATTGGTGTTTGCTTGATTTGGTCGTTTCCAGTGCTTGACATTGGTGTTTGCTTGATTTGGTCGTTTCCAGTGCTTACAGATTCGGAGTTTGAGTTCGGTCAGAACATAAGCCACGGCCTTTAGACATGACAATTCGTGAGATACAAAATATTAAAATTTTATATGAAAATTATATATTATAATTTATATTAATAAAAAAATATAATTTATATTTTAATTTTATTAAAATTATTTATAATTATTAATTAATTTTTAATTTATATTATTTTTATATTTTATTTTTATATTATATTTATATTGTATCATTATATTATATTTTAAATTATCAAATTTAATTTTTATCATATTTTTTCAAACAATCGAATTTGTTAATTCTAATAACAAGTAATATTAATCATAATTCATGACTTATAAGATTGATTCAATCTTAAAAAAAAAAAAGTCATAATCTCTTATAGAATTCATAAGTATAAAATTTGAAAAGTAAAAATAAATTACAAAAATTATAATACCTCTGTCCTAAAAAAAGTTAATGTTTCAAAATTTCCGTACTGTCTCTATCAATTTTTTTCGTTCTCATAATTTTCTCCTCCTACGGCATGAAACCTACCTAATCCAACGCTAATATCAGCACCTAGGAAATTCTATGAAGGTTTCCCTTTTGCATTATTGTCAAAATCAAAATTAATTTTATTTTGATTATAAATGAAAAATTCATAAATGTTGGTTGCATCATGTCCAAATCAGGAACTAAACACTGACCATTTTCCTAGTGCTAGTCAATAAAGGATATAAGTAAACATATGACCCTAAATTTTTCTCCAAGAAAAGCCAACCTTCCATGATCATTGCATCCTATTTAGATTTTTTTTTAATCTCCGTATTTTTTTTAATTATCTTTAAATAAAATTATTTAATTTTTTTTAAAAAATTTAGATATTTATATCTAAAAAATTAAATAATTTATCGATTTACGTATTTGATAAATTATATAATTTATTTCATTTTCATATTCGATAAATTATTTAAATATTTCTAAAAAAATCTTAAACCATAGTCTAAAAATTCATTTGGAAAAAAAATTTTCATATTGTAAAGAAAAAACATAATTCGTTTCAAATAATTATAAATTCATTTACAGATTAATAGGTAAAAACTATAGTTTTAATTGAACAAGCACTTGATTTCAATGATCTTATGAAGGAAAAACAACTGATATTCCTATTAAGATTTTTAAATCATTTAAATGATATTTCTATCAAGAGTTGAAAACTTTTAAAAGCTCTCGATATGGAAATTTTTTAATTTTTAAATATAAGGAATTTAAAAAAAAGAATAAATAATTAAATAATGTTATTTAGAGATAATTTTAAAAGGAAAAAGTGTGGAGAGAAAAAGAATGGAGCAAATAGAAGCTCTCCACCTTTGAAGTGGTTGATGAATTTATCTTAAAACCATTTATACTTCTCAATCCTCTATGAAATTTTGAAATATTAAATTCAAGATTTACGCTTTATTTAAATGTTTGATGAAAATCTTTTTATTTAACTATTCGATGAAATTTTTTTTATTATAAACAATTTCAAAGCGATACAAAATTCTTAAAGATTTAGGTTTTGTTCGGTTTAAAAAATATTTTTTATTTTCATTTTAAAAAAATATTTTTATTTTATTTTTTGGTTTTTTAAAAATTTATTTAGTAAATGAAAATAAAAATTATTTTCTAGAAATGCAAAAATAAGAAAATAAATAAAATATTTAATGATATTATTATTAATAGCATCTAATTATAAATATAATATACATTAATTAATAATATTAAAAAATGTTTAAATATGATAACTTGTAAAAAATAAAAAAAAAATGAATATCTCTTATTTTTACAATTAAAAACATTATTTTTTATATTTTAACTCATTTTTATTTTTTAAAAATTTATTTTTATTTTTAATTATAAAAATACGTTTTCACTCATATTTTTTATTTTTCAAGAAAATGAAAACAAAAAAATTCTATTTTTTTGAAATCAAATATTATTTTAATATTTAATGACATTTCCGTACGACTAAAATCTCTTTCCGACACCTAATCAAACGAAACTTTAACCTTAGCGCATTTGTTTTATTGATTTCCATTGCATGAAAAATATATCCTATAGAAACCAAAGAGAAAAAATGTGAAAATCAGCCCTAATATCAATGTTTTTCTTCATTTCTTTCTCTTTACCACAATTCAAAAGTTGAAACTCCATTTTGATAGACGGTGGCGATGCCAAAAATAGGACAAAGAAAAGGCCAAATAATGAAGTTAGTGACAAAAAAAAAAAAAAAAAGACCGAATCTAATATTAGATGAGTTTAATTATTATATTAAATGATGTAAAATTTTTTTTGAGAAATCATGGCTTATCCTTACGTTTTTGTACGGATAAAATTTAAAAAAAATTAAAAATCAATTCGAAATTATAATATTTGATTTGATTTTTATTAATTTTTTTATTCGATTTTTTTAATATTAAATATTAAATATATATATTAAATTTGAATTAAATTTTATATTGAAATATAAAAAATCAAATTAAATCAAATTATATATTTTTAAAATTTAATAAAATAAAAATTATTATTATATATAAAATTTTATTTAAATAAATTAAATTTTTATTAAAATAACATATAAAAAAATAATAAATCAAATTTAAAAAAATTAATAAAATTTAAATTTAAATTAAATTTTAAAATTTCATAATTTTAAATAAATTAAATTTTTTATTAAAATAACATATAAAAAATAATAAATCAAATTTAAAAAAATTAATAAAATTTAAATTTAAATTAAATTTTAAAATTTCATAATTTTATATATTATTTAGCAAAATCAAACCCAATATGATCTAATATAACCGTTGTTAGTACTATCCCTTTGGATTCGCCTTTTGCCAATGGATGAAACAAAATGTGAGTTTCCAATGTTTGAACCCAAAATTTTAAAATGTTATAAATCAGACTAAGATCTAGGAAAGATAGCTTATATAAAATTAAAAAAAAAAAAGGTTATTTTAGAATATAAAATTGTTCTGAAAGTGGAATAATTTCAGGGCTTTGGTTACTGAACCATATGTTGGATTGGAATTTATCCTTCCTCGCAAGCTTCCAAAAGCTTTTGTTAAAAGCATAAATGCAGTTTCATTTTGAAAAAATACAAAGTAGCCGACAATTTCAGTGAAAGGACAAAGGATCTGCGTGCCATTTGATATTTATTATTTGACGGTTGAAATGTCCAATGCACACTCCCTCTCTTTTTAAAACTAGCTAGCTAGGCAGCCACCTAATCATTCTTTTTACAAATTTAAATTTAGTCACTTCAAATTAATTAGTCGAGGTGAGGGTCTAATTAAATTGAGTTGATATGTTAAAAAATTTAAATATAAATTAAATTTAAAATTTAACTTAAATTTAATTAAATTTTAATTTTTAAATTTAAATTTAAATTAAAATAATATTAAATTAATTAAACTATATTATTTTAAATTATTTAATAAAAATTAAATTTGATTTAAATTCGATTATACATTTAAACTCAAATTTAAATTCTAATTAATATATATAAAATAATAATTTTTTATTAAAATAAATTAAAATTTAAAATTTTAATTTAATTAATTAATTATTTAAATTAAATATTAAAATATTCAAACTCAATTTATTTGATAAATCAAATTATTTAGATTCGATAATAGTTAAATTAAATTTAAATTTTATCTAAATTAAACTTAAATAATTTTGTAAATATTAATATATCATTTATATTTTTAATTGAGAGCTTTTAATCTCTACGGTAATTCATCTATTTTCATAGCAAGGTTTAGGGCACAATTTGAAGCAAATTAAACTTAAATAATTTATAAATATTAATATATCATTTATATTTTTAATTGAGAGCTTTTAATCTCTAAGGTAGTTCATCTATTTTCATAGCAAGGTTTAGGGCACAATTTGGAGCCCCTGAAATGGCTCCCCAGTCCCCCATCCTTCCCCTTTTCCTTTATTTTTGTTCGGCAATTAATAATTTGCAAATATAAAAAAAAAAATGCATATTTTGAATTTTGTCATGTTTACTTTCAAATTTTTCAGACGATTTGGTGATAGTAATAAAAGCAAAAGCTTAGACTATAAATTTCATATCTCAAAAATTTACGCTTCCCAAAAAATTGACATAAAATCTAAAAAAATTACCAACAATTATATACTCCCCACTTCACTGGAATGCAATATAAACACGTAATAAGCCTTGAATTTTTCCTTTAAAAAAATACTGCTACTATTATACTATTAAATGAAGTAAAAGAAGATGAAAGGGGCAGATTAGGAAAGTAATAGTTAACCAGATTAACAACAAAGGTAAAAAATTGAAAAATCATTTACTAAATTTATTAATTTAAAATATAATACAATAAAAAATAAAAATAATATAATTTAAAATTTTAATAATAATTATATATAAATTTAATAAAATAAAAAATATATATTTTTATATTTTTATATTAACATTAATTATAATATATAATTTTTATATAAAATATAATATAAATACATAAATTTTAATATTACATATTATACAAATAATTAGATCTACTGTAGAAAACAAAAAATCTCCACCTCCCATGTTTTACAATATAAAGCTCCAACAAACCCTCTCCTTGTTCTCTTCCTCCTCTCCCCTGAAAAAGACCGCCAACCTTCTTGTTTTCTTTGTATAGCTCTCAAACTATGGAGATCCCAGAAAAGCTGCTTAAGTTCAAGTACCCAATAATCTTATCACTCACTCTTTCACTTACCCTTTCTTCTCTCATCATTTTTGCACCACCTTTTCTCACCATTTTAACCTACTTTTGGCCTCTATTTCTCTCCACTGCTCTCTTCCTTGTAGTTGTCATCTTCTTTGGGAAAATCTCCGCTCATCCCGCCGGCTCTGACTCTCCGGCTGATAAGGCCGGTGAAGGCCTCCTTGACTATGTTGCTGGCCAACCT